AACTAAAACTGCTTTATTTTACTTTTGCACTAAAGCTCTGTTTTGTTTTCAGCAGCTTTCTTGAATTATCAGATGACGAGCTTTCGCTGCCTCTGTTCTATACATCCACACAGTCGCTCCAGAAAGCAATCCATAAAAGCTCTGCTGCAGTCGCAGCACTTCTTGGCTGGATTTGACGGCACTTAATGGAGCTTCTGGGGGGAAAAAAAACTTCCTGCTTTCCAGAGAGGACATCTTAAAAGATCAAGGATAGGCTACGCACACATGCACATATACTTAAAACGCGCAGGGATTTCCTGCTGTAGTCGAGCGGCGGAGTTGTTTGGGGATTGAGAGGCACCTCTTTCCATTGCTTGTAAGCATCCAGCCAACCACCAAACATTACCTTGCACTTATATGAAGTCAGTTCTCACACAGGATAAACAATATGAAGACCGACTGTAATCTAAAAACCACCAGAAGCCAAACTTATTCTCATTTTGATTTGCAGACTATTCAACTTTTATTTTTTTTTGTCTTTCTCTTAAACTCTGTGACACTATAGGTTTTTATATACATGCAAAGGAGCAGTCTGCAGGTAGGAGCTTTTTAAACAATATCAACTTAACGTGCGACTGTAAAGGCTCTAAATTCCATATTCGATTAAATTCACCATAATTCCTCGTTTTAGATATTTGTATGTTCCACATCTAAACGCTTTCAACCTGTTTTTTCAATCTGAAAAGGGAAAAAAAAAAACCAAACTGCACTGTGGAACTATTACATTGTTACACAGCGCTGAAGGAGTATAAGTGAAAAAACAGCAAAAGCGAAGAAACATAACAAAACATGGCAGCCATGAGCCAGCTGGAATACAGTGGTGCAGGAAATGTTGTCTGGCACCTCGGCGTACTGGAGCAGAGTTCAAAGCTCGGCCGTGGTGATGCATAGGTGCAGCCTTTGTGGAAGTGTGTATTAATATAAACTGTAAAAGTCAAGACAGGGCGAGCGTGCGTTCCTGAGAAAGCTCACGTTGCATCATTATGTCCCAGCCGTTAAAAAATATGAGGCAACAGCAGGCTACAGAGAATCTTTGAGAGGCCAAGTGGGACCGGTGCTGTTATAGCTCCACATCAGCTGGATTGCATAATAGTGACCACATCAACAACTGTGGATTTGCACATCTGCCTCAAACAAAATCGTGTATTTGTCTAGTTAAAATCCTGACTCATAATACACGTCGAAAAACAGCTGCAGCCAGACCTCATTAATTTACTTGTGTTTAAATGACAGATTTGTGTTTTGGCTCATAGACAGACTCACTGCAGACACTAAATCACATGTTTCTTGTCATTTTTTTTGTCTCCTTTCACTTCATTGTTTTCTTTGTACACTAATAAAAGCTGATAAATAAATGATGCACGTTACCTGGACCGGACACAGGAGGCTCGGGTTTGTGGGATTTCTTTGGGTCAAGCCGGTCCTTCTCCAGCTGTTTTCGTGTGCTGCGCTGTCGGGCCTCTCTGAACATGGGTAAGGCATGAGCTGGAGACACGCAGGGTAAACAAACATAATCAAGTTGCTTAGGTAACTAAGATCACATAACACTGCCACACAAATAAGCGCCGCGCAAACGTTGAGTGCTTGTAGGCCGCGTGTAGCACTTACCTGAAGTACAGACGGAAACACAAAGCTGTGGAAGGCGATGTGTTTTCAGGAAACAGAAACACACTCTCACCTACTGCTACACTTTGTATAACATACACAACATACATGCAAAAACAAAAACACCCGGAGCGTCATTTATCACTGCTGCATGTGCACAAAACACGGCTTAAAATAGCCACGTATTGCTTTCCAGGAAATAGCTGTTTGTGCTTGTGAAACACTAATTATTTTGCAAGCGGCTCTTTATTCTTAAAGATACAGGCCAATTAAAATATGAAACATTTACAGCTGTGATTTATTTTTTAAATTTTTTGAGAACCAAGTGATGCCAGGATGCATCAGGTGGCTGATTCCTGAAAGTCTGCTTCACTTTTTGTGGACAAAACACACTAAATATCCAGATTTTTTTTCATATCACCACATTAAATTGATTAAATAATCAGAAAATTGCAGGAAAAAAATCTTTATCGAATTGGACAACAGGGGGCTGGTAGATTTCTAACAAAATCTTATAATAATGCATTTCACCAACTGTATTTTAACTCGTTTTCAGGCAGATTATTGTACACTGTAGTGCACACATGAACCACAAAACACTCTCCTCCACTTGCACTCATTAGCAGCTGAAAAATGAAAACACTTTCTGGAGCACAATAAGATATATCCATAGATATTACTTAGATATATGTCCACATAGACGCAAAACAAATACCAAACATTGAGCTTTGGTGTTGCCGCTCCTCCACCGGCCGTATAACGTTCTGGCACCGTGCAGCACCTCCACGTCTGACCACTTTGTTTAACTTCAGAAATTGCCCTGTTTGTAGCAGTGGCTGCAATCATCATCCCTTCTCTCTCTCTCTCTCTTTGTATGTGTGCACAACACTGCCTCCACTCTGAACAGGAATAGTATGTACACCAATATTTATTAGAAATGTGACCATTTATTTATTCTCTCGCTCTCTCTTTTTTTTTTTTATAAACGAAGCCCCAGTTGACCCCTGGCAGCATCTCTCCTTTTGTGTACTCTTTCTGCCGTAGTGCACACCAACATATTCATTACATGTTTAGATTCAGACAATCACTCGGCTGCTTTTCACACTTTTGTGAGCACCATCACAATAAAGGCCCCCAGCACTTAAATCTACGAGTGTGTGAGTGAACGGGTGCGTGATTAAGTGTGAATGAGTGCCCTCATAGGTGTGGGAGAGAGACACTATATGTGTGTGTGTGTGAGGCATTTGTGTTAGAAATTGTGTATGCTCTGCTCTTATCCTCAGGGGTTACAAAGAGACACTTTAGTAAAGAGCTAGATAAAGTGATTTTCCATTTAGGAGTGCTGTCGCTGTTCAGTGTTAATTCTTCTCCTCCATGCTACATTAAGCAAAAAGGTTACTGTTAACAGATTCCCTCGCTTTTCTCAATGGGCCATCACTTGCTTCCTGTCCCTTCTAATTTTCCAGTGCCAGGGCATCAAGTGCGTCACTCACCACTTGTGGCAGTCAAATGCCTGCCGACTTCACACCCTGTTGGCATGGCAATGAAAATCACATGATGCATCTGAAAAGGCTGCAGAAGCCCAAACAATAAATGGCGTCTGAATTGGGTCCCGGCAGCCAATCAGCGGCGCGCCGCGTCGGCAGCTGCTCACTTCTCGTAGGTTCATGACTTCATTCTGGGGGCAAAGGAGTGCGAGGCACGCACAGAAGAGATGACAGCCTCGTGTGTTGGTGATATGACGGGATGACAGGTAGGGGGGTAGTTTGTGTGCCTGTGTGTGTGTGTGTGTGTGTGTGTGTGTGTGTGTGGTCGGATCAGCAGGAGATCACGCCAGCAGAGGTGGGAGAGGAGGCTGTCCCTAGCGTGATCCAGCATGACAGGAGAGCACATGGCCGTCGCGTGGCACAGTGCCCCGCGGCTGTCGATTCGATCATCCACACTCTGCTCCATCAGCTAATGGGCCTGCGAATGCCCTGAACTCCCTCTCATTCCTCGCAAAGCCCCCCGGTATGGGATGGAGTGGGTCGGAATACTTTTGTGCATGTGTGAGAGAGAAAGAAGCGAGACAGGCAGCATGTAAAGCAGGACTGGCATTTCTATTCTTTATGTCAGAGATGAAACATGCGCCGCTTGCCACATCGTACTTGTGGAGGACGGTTGGCATTGTTTTGGCGTTGCCTCTCTGTTTCTGCTCGAACGCACACTGTCTTATTGTCGAGCGCTGCTTATGAGATGAGTTAGGTGGACAAAGGAGGGATTTCAAGTTAATTGTTTTACTAATTGTTGCACCAGATTAAGTGATCTGGTTTAAAGTTTATTAAGTGGAAAACGCATCATTCTGTAAAGGTTTGGACGAAACTGCACATGAGTGTCCTTTGCATGTGTCCATTACGCACATGGAAGAACTTACGTGTGATGATGTAATCTTGCGTTAGCGTCTCTGCTTGCTTCTCTTTGCGCTGGCTCTTCACGACGCACAGCTTCGCCCCCCTGGAGGAAAGACAGGTATCGTATAGAACACAAGACGCTGAGGAGTCAAGCTTTGCAGCATCACGACCAGCAATTTAACTGAAACAACAACAAATCTGTCGTACCAACAATTCCTTGTGGCCGCAGCATATTATTGCCAATGCCTTTTCCCCCAACAGAATTCGATTGTTGTCAAATAATTATTCAAATACAAACTGCTGCACTGGGCTACATATTTTATACGGAACAATGATGAATAAGTCCGTTGTGGTCGATAGTTTGACAAAGACAGACGATGAGTTTGAGAAATATCTTCAAACATTTGTTTCAACTTAGCAAACCTTAGAGAGCAGCTCTTTATTGATATGCATCTTTCTAGTGTTTAGATGACTTTGGTAGTCGGACAAAAAGAGGAAAAAACTACATTAGCCATGACAGCTACGAACACATATATTAAACAGTGCAGCAGTGTGGCTCTTCCGCTCATTTTTAATACTTTTCAGTTGGAAAAACAGCCTTTTATAGCATGGCTACAGAGACAGTATCTGTTGTTAGGATAAACAGACAGTTCATTTTCATCTATAAAAAGGCAGAACATCACCAGGCTTATCTGTAAACCAAACATACCTGTGGCTTTTGAAAGGGTCATAGTATACTTTGGCCAGTCCGTTCCCGGTTCCCACCATTATCTGGTTAAGTTTCGGGTGCCACAAGCAGCGGACGACGCTCTGAAAGACGCACAAAGAGACAACAAGAGCTTTAATGTTTTTCTACAGTCATTAAAAGTAGTGCAAGTGAGGAGGTCACACTTTAAGGCCCCACAGCAGGCTGTAAACAACTTCCTCTACTGTGGGTCAGATTTCCAAGTTTATGTCTGCTTCTCTGCAACGAAAAGGCAACAATCGAATTTTATCTGAGAGTGTGTGACCCGGCTTGGTTGTGGTACAGTGGGGATCAGTCCCAGTGTGCTCTGCTGCTCTAGTTGACTATATTTGGTTGTTGGGATGAGGGTTGGATCCCTCAGTCTGTGTGTGACAGATGGCCCAGTGCCAATAGGCAAATGTGACCACATTTATCCAGAGGTGTGTGTATGTGTGTGTGAGAGAGAGAGAGGGAGAGGGAGAGAAAAAAAGAAGGGCAGAGAGAAAGAAATCTACGCACAGTTGTTGGACAGTGATGAAGATCCTCTGTTCATTCTGTGATATGTGAGATGCAGCACAGAGCTAGAAATCCCCTCCTGCAGTCGCGGCTTCTTTCTTTACACACGTTACTATCGAATCACAGCTCGCTAGGAGGTGAACACACGTCTATGAATATCCCCGTGCTCTTCTGTGTCCTGTAGTTGTGCAGAATCTTAAAGAGAGTGAGTGTTTGTCTTTATGTGGAGCAGAGAAGGGAATCTGATGGGGTCTGGGACAGCGGCGTAGGATGGGGGGTGGGTAGGACGATGAGCGGGACGTCCAGATTCTGTGACAGTGAAAGCTGCTTAACGCCCAGCTGTTCAGCTTCCCACCAGGATACCAGAGGAAGGAGTCTCAATCGCACACACATGATCATACGGACACACATGGACGCACAAGGGGACAGACACGGATGAGCGCCTGCACATACATGTACAGTATGGAGAGAAGTGCCTGCTCTGTTAGACGTGTTTCCTACAGTATCGCAGCATGAAGTCTAGAAACACATCTTAATTTATCAAGTGTAACATTAGAATTAGACATCATTCTATAGAATTCTTGCACAATATAAATAAAACTACTTCACACTGTTCTAACATTTTCACCCATGTTTGTGTGCACGAGACTTTAAATTAAAATAAGTGAAAATCTGCAGAAATTGCACCACATTGCTCACGTCATACATACGTGTCTCCAATATGAGGCCAGCAGCTCAGTGGTGTGTAGCTCATGGGACAGATGAAGGTTAATCTGCTCAACCAGATGAGCCAGTTGTAATTGATAGAAAGAGCTGGAAAATTCTTTAAACAGGATGTGCTTAACAGGAGCTTCACATGCCCCATTCATACATTGTTAGACGATTACATGAACAAATGACCTAATAAGCACGAATCACTGTGTGATTTAAGCATAAAAACTGATTTTCTGAAGCGTAAACATCAGTTGCATTTGCTGATGAAGGTGCACGTCCCATAAAACAATGATCTCTTATAAAAAACGTGTACCGACACGTATCAGAGTCCACGCTGGATGCGCTTCAGTGTAAATGTGTAATGGGTTGTAAATTGGCCTGTCACGGTTGCTGAAGTAACAGCGACAGTTTCCTCATGCGAGGAAATGCCGAAATGACAGTTTGGAATTTTGTTACACTCCACAGCTACTGTCGCAGCACGTAGGTTAGTAACGCGCATACAGCGGCTTCAATCAGGCAGGAAAATAAGAGCGATAAGGTTCTCCGATAACTGCTGTCCAGTCGAGTTCAGAAAACTGCCTCGTTAGACCCAAACTAATCACTCTGCCAACAGCGGAGCATGTTTAACAGAGGTGCCTCAATCAGCCCACTTCAGGGGCGCCCACCCCAACTGCATCCACGGAGAAGTCCACAGCCAAGCACAGCTCAGCCCAGCGCAGCCGTAACACTGCTTTCCAGATATTCAGAGTAGCTTGTTTATACTCCAGGAACCCCTGTTTACACTTCACGTCCACAAAATTACATCACATCATGAAGAAGGAAACTTTAATCAGTCACTTCTTCGGTAGCAGGCGTCGACGTCTCATCGGATTAAAAATATCAAAGGCGGACTAAACAAGACAACAGCCACTCGCCCGACGTGTATGCTGATTATGAAATAAAACTATGCAGCACTAATGAGACACAACAGTCAGCTGTGTTTCTTGTTTAGCCGCTGGTGAGTGGATCCAAATGTGCATTGCTTCTGAGAGGCTGAGCTACACCGGCCAAGTTGAACGCAGCCAGGAAAAGGAGAACGCTACTTTTAGCACCTCAGCTACACACCGACTAGGCCGCCGTCCAAGAGGTCTGTGATTAGTACGAACTACGTTACTGGAAGAGCTGGCTTTCACATCTTACGAGATTTATTTGTTGAGATGCAGAAGAAAGAACAGAGCGGAGGCCTCCTTTCTACCTTTCACCCTTGGTTGCTCCTACTGAAGATAAAAGACCCAACATTTGTATCAAAGGCCCTCCTTGAAAAGCCTTGCACAGGGAGCAGCTGACTGTTTAAGAGCTTTCAAGCAAGACGTGGTTGTTATAGCGCTGGCAAACAGCAACACTTTCCTCTCTTGATATCCTCTAGACGCTGTACTTTTTGGCCGATCCATTGGGAATGTCGTTTTCACTTTTCGTGGTAAAAATACATCACTGGATGGATGTGAATGGGATCCTTCTTCTAAGTCACCAAGATAAGTGCAGCAAGGATAATAATAATACATTGACATTTATTTTAGCTTGTGCAGAAGGCTTTTTTAGTTAAATAGTCGCATGGTGTATCTGTTATACCTGGGTGGCACCTCATCTGTTGAATTAAGTGCATCATGTTGGTGGCAATTTAACTATTTTTGTGACTTGTTTCGTAGAAATAGACATCCCTCTTAGTAACGGTGGTTGTTTGGACAAATATACCAGCCATCAGCGACTCCATTGCTAGTTGGGTTTGGCATTTTGGAAGATTTTTATCAGTTTATTTGGTTAATTTAATGGTCTGACTCCTCAAGAATTTAACTCAGTATATTTTATATCCTTTAAAGTGTGTCTGCTAATAGGAACTGGCAATTGGAGTTGCATGCAAGTGACAAGTAATGTAGCGATTGACGCCTCCAGAGGTGATTAAGTTTCTGTAATCGCCCATAAAGTGTCCAGATAGGCCTAAATTTCAGTTTAACAGTTATCTAAATGTAGTGTGCCCCCGATCCAGAAAATAAAAGAAAGACCCGGTTAGTTAGGTGGCAACATTAGGACGGCGTCTCTCTACAACAAAGGTCTCCAGATGGATTTGCTAAATGCAGGTGATCACCTAATACAAAGTACCAGAAGGTGAAACACGCGTGTATTCAAGATGAAATAAGGACAAAAACTGGCATCGGCTTCAGCACAGACATACACTCATGTTTACACAAAGTTTCAGTAGATCTCCATTTGAAATTCAGCCAAAAGCTCAACGCTTTTCTGGTGAGCAGGATCTCACCTGGTCCCTGCCCATTCTGATGGACTAAGATAAGCTTAAGCGTGTCTGAAGTATTTACCAAACAGGCCCGAAGCAGCCTCTGCTCCCAAGCACACCCCAGAATCCAGGTCTGGGGTTATGTAGACTGTTTAGTTAGAAATGATTGGTGGCCCTTCCTTTCACTCGCCTGCCTGGTACGCCACTTTATAAAGACTGCACTTAAATTCTTGGGCCATCCAAGAGGCAGACGGCTGATGTAAACACAGTAAATAGCACATTCATCAGGTTCACTGAGTGCACGTCAGCCAGAAACAAGTGATCTGCTGCACGAAGCTAAAAAATTTTACCGCATCAAAATTATTTGAGAGGTTAAACTGCCAATACAGTCGGGTGTGGATGATCTCTTTACACTCAGGTTGTTGTGTTTTTGGTTGGCGGGTGAAGTGGAGGGGGGAAGGATTTATACAAACTTAATCAAACGTGACCGTAAAAGACATCAAAATGGTCTCGGCTGAGCAATCTATCAGCTAACCCCAATCACTCCCCCCTACAACTTCTCTTGGAATAATTGACCTCAGTAATTTACAAATGATGAAATTTTGAGTGCACAAATAAATCAACTACTACAATTCTTCAACATGTTAGTTCTCTGTGCTCCTGCAGCCTCCTAAAATATACAAATTAAAGCTTTTTATGTATATAACTGCACACAAATGAATTTAGCAAGCAGCAGCTCCGATACAGATGGGTGACAAATTGATCACCTTTACCCAATTCCAGCATGACGCCTCCATTCACAGTCACTGGAGGGTTGGAGGAGTATGAAAGTAATGTGAATTATATATTATGGCCTTTGCAATCACAAGATCCCAACCAAGATGGTCACCTATTGGAGATGCTTCAATTTGCCACCTGTGAATATCTTCAGATGATTTTTACAAACAGACTCTTTTTTTCTTTAAAGGATCATTACTATATAAATGTGGGGCGGTTACTACAATTAACACAAATAAAACTATTGCCAAGGCGACTGGCAGCCTGCACCACTCTCTAGACTGCATTGTTTTCCGTGGCACCGGCCTGGATTTTGTGGGAAATCTGCAGGATTTCTGAACAGCATAAAGGGTGAGCAGACAGGAAGAGGTTTTGCCGTCCTTCCAGCGCCTCTGAGCTGAAGCTTTCAGAGTTTCTCACAATGGCAGATGGTGGAAGAAGTGAAAGGCCAATGGAAAAATCACTTCCAAATGTTTACCCTCTTCAGCAAAGTGAAAGAGAAGACAAACGTCCACGGGGTGATGCAAGGGAGGAGGGTTGTTAAGTTCTAAACAGACTCTTTGACCCAAGAGAGTCTGAGGTCTTTTCTTTGATGCTGCTTATAGTGAAAGTGGGTGGAAATGTCACAGCCGTGTATTTATAATACTTAACCAAGACTTTGTCAAGAACTTAAATACAGCGGGTAATGAATTTCTCGGTCTAAATGACCGGCAGCGTGTGGATTCTGCTGGTTGCAAATTATTAAAGCCACCTACTGTCTTTGAGTGACAACATTATTACCAAACACTCAACGGTTAAGTGTACTTCAGTGGAGGACATTGTTTAGTTCTGTCAGGTTTGTGGACTGTCATCTTCTAACTACCACCAGACACCGGCTCGAGAGAGAGGAGAGAGGACAGTCGCTGAAGCAAGATCACTGGCGCAACAGAGAAAAGGTGTTCTTTAATTTTGAGAAAACGCTGGCATAAACATTCGTGTGGGACAGATTACTGTCTCAACAAAGGCATTTCTTTGTGGTATGTACACCAAAATATTGTCAATCTGTTGACAGTGATAGAGTATACTGAAGTTAAAAAAAATGCTATTCTTAGCACTTTTGGGCATCAAAGTAAGCAACAGAGATGCTTTTTTTTCCGGTGTAGTGTCTTCAGATGACTGTGCTGACAGGGCTGTGTCGCTCTCTCAGTTAATAACGCAGACTTGAAAGCTCTCACCCAACTTTGATCCTTTTATTTAATCTGACAGTGAATGGCAAATGATTATATTCTGGAGTATAACCAAAATACGAAATTTAGGATCACATTTAGAGAATAAAATAAATACATTCACAGTGAAACTTTTCCTACAGTGAACGGCTTCAGTGTGCACATCCTCCCGTCCTCTCAAACAGCGCAACTCTGCAGTGGGATGTTCACTTAGTGTGGATGCTTTGCCAAAGTTTGCAAGATAACAGCAGCTGGCTGGCAGAGAGGGAGGAGGCAAAGTCACACACACAAACCCATCTTTTGTCTCTTTTCCCCCCCACTCTCCAGCATGTTCATTCAACAGCTCATGTGAAAGTGTCATGCCTTAACCAGGGAGACCAAGTTAGAGGGCATTAGCCTCAGTCAAATCGCAAAGGTTGTGACTATAGATAGACGCTGTTAAATCTGTTGAAAAGGCTTGAAGGAGGAGAGACATAGTAGGAGGAGGAGGAGGAGCAGGAAGCCGCTGTGCTGCAGGCAGCACCTATGCTTTTTACTTCAGCACCTATGGCTAGCTGCCCTCAGCAAATGGATTTCTGAGGAAGAAGGATTAGAATAAAGTATGCTAATGTAGTCCGTGTGAATGGAACACGATGATTGATTGTGTCCATAGATAATTTAATTTCAAATATAACTCAGAGTCAATACTTGTAAAAGCGTCAATAGGTGCACTGCCAACAGTTTGTGGGAATAACTCGCAGTAAGGAAAGGTCACATTACTCCTTTCTCACTCACTTTCTCTCAGCCTGCCTCTTTAGCATTTTTTAAACTTTTCTCTTTTGCCTTCCTCGATAACTTTTCTCATCATGCTGTGATTTGTTTCCGCAAAATAATGCTACTGTCCATTTTTCACCCAATGCAAACATGGAGAACATATACATTCCTATGTTGCTAAAATACAACTAACTTTTGGGGTTTCCTCTTTCCTTTGGTTTGTTATATAACTATTTTGTACAAGTAAAAGGCTTGCAAAGCTACAAAGTCGAAAGTCCACACCAAAGGAGGTTATTGTCTCCCAGAGAGGTCCACGCTTTTCTTCCATTACTTATCTACATCACCATGTAAGATATTTGCATAGTTTGGAATGCCCTCAAACGAAGAATGAACAGCTGCTTTTCAGTCCGCTATGATTTCCTCGCTAGAGCTGCTTCGCCATACTCATAGATCTGAGGTTATGATACATAACCAACATTACCTTGCTTTTGTTGGGGCAGCTGATTAGTCGGACTAATCTGGGCTTTTCAGTGAGAGGAGTGCTGTCACAATGTACAGTAAGAGAAAAATAATGTGTTGTTTTTACCATTAAAGCATCTAAACTTACTCAAACAGTCCTCCAAAATAAAATGATGAATCCATAAATGAGCATAATGTAGGGAGAAAATGCATCCACATTGGTAGATGATTGGGATTTTTGGTTCAGAAAAAAGAACATTTAATGTCTTTCTGAGAAAACTGATTCATTTTAATTAAATGACATTTTAGGTAATGTGCCTAGATTTCTGTGTACTATTGTACTTAATCAAACAGCATAACCAATTTCTGTGGTGTTCCCTACTGCAGAGTTAACTAAATACAGACTGGAATAAATAAAGAAATAAATACATGGGAATAATTCTGTTTGGTTAAACAGGAAGTTAAATAAATCTAAAAACCAGCATAATAAAGTCTTTAAATGTGGCCTTAGACTACTGCTGTTGGGTTTTCAAGAGGCCAAAGCTAAATTAAAACATTTTAAGGCTGCAGTTTTGTTTGAGCCCAAACCACTTAACATGGAAAAGGAATGACAGACACACTGGTTTTATTACACGCCATTATGGACCCATTATGTTTCTGTTCCACTGTTCGACATTTAAGGTCAGTGTTTTGTTCGCAACCAACATATCATATCAACCAGCTGAAAAACATCTCATAACAAGAGCAGCTGTGGTCGCAGGGATTGAGGCAGAACTTACTGCATTGGTGACTTCGATTTCGTAGACCCTCTGAAATGAAACTCGGTCAAAGAAAACCAACTTCCCGTTTCCCTCGTCTTTCTTCACCGAGGTCCCCGTTACAAGAAGCTTGTCGTCGGGGCTAAAACAGCAGTCGGTCCTAAAATGGAAACACACACAACAAAAGCACTATAATGAGGACAAAGAGCAAAGAGGCAGATTGGAATGAAGGTGGCAGAGAAAAAGTCTCACATGGAAAAGTAGTTGGTCAGTCCAGTGGCTACGTTCACAGGCTTCCTGAAGTTGCGTATATCCCACATCTTCATAGTGTCGTCGCCTAGAAAACAATCGTTGGAGACCACACCGCAAGTTGTGAGATTTACTTTACAAAAAAAAGTCACAGCTAGCAGAGGAACTTTCTTGTTATGTTAAGCGAAGGACTCCTGCACAGAGTTATTCCTGTTTATCTTTGCGTTAGAAACCTCTTGACTAGATTACATTCCAAGAAGAAACTCACATGTTTTTGTGTGTGTGTGTATATATATATATATCTCTTGCGAGTCTTCTGTGTTTTGTTGATGGTGGTCTCTATTTATTTTCAAACTCAGGAAGAGATGAGCTACTTCTCTGCTTCAAACAACTGCTCGGTTATCCAGCAATGGATGTTAAAAACTGGATTCTCATAGCTGGACTGCTGATGAATGCAAATTTAACTTGCAACAGGGGGTTTGGCAGATAAGGCTTAGCTCTTTTTCTTACCTCCACGTGAAGCGAGAGTCATTCCATCGTAGGAGAAGGAGAGGCAGGAGGTGTCTGAACCCGGAGTGTGGGCTTGCCGACAGTGAAACTTTGTATGAACCTGGGAAGAAAATGCATCGGTGAGATTTATACGGGGTCTGGTAGAGTTTTATACTTCGGTAGTGATGTGCAGCACACCTGCAGTTTCAGAGTCAGGTTCTATGTACATGTGTCTGAAAGTGAAAGTCTATAAAAACAGAGGTCATAACAGCAGGAATTCATTCCTGCTCTGTTCCTGTTTTCTTGGAAGCGAGAAGTAACCGACTAAAAGCAGACTCTGTATCACAAAAAAAAAAAAAGAAACTGATCATTACAAGATGACTAAATAAAGCAATCCTCTCTGTTCTGTCTGCAGTTTCATTAAACATGCTGACTTGTCATCATTTCTCACCAATACTACAGATTTCTTACGATCTCTTGATGTGCTACTGTATGAAACTGTCAGTGCACTGCTTCAGTTCTTCACATTTCAGCCTGTCAGTGAAGCAACAAAAAGACCTTTTCATTCTCAACGTTTTTCAAAACAACACACGGTTTTCATTTCCACCATGAACACTGTACTATGTATTTAACTAAGAAGCCCACTTGAACTTATGAAATATCAGCAACTTAACACACTGCGCTCACCACACTCTTTAGCAAGACTACAGACCACAGACATTTACCTTGGCCGGCGTTTAGCTTTTTGCCTGACAGATGGTATTTTGATTTTTCCTACCTGGTGCGGTGTTATAATATTCCTACTGCATACAACTTACCAGGCAATAACGCATAACAGACACACTTGTAGCTGCAGCCCGAGGCTAACATCAGCTTTTTTGATTCTTGGTATTATTAGCCGTCCTTAAATAAGCATCAGCCTGTACCGACAACTATTTAAAAATGTAACATCAAAACATCAACGACCGCCAGGATCAACTACAAAATATGGATAATAACAACAACATGAGCCAAAGGACTAGTAGACAGCAGTAGCTGAGTGGAGAAAAGTGGTTTTCAAAATCTAATTCTGAAAGTGTGGGCTATGTGGTACATCAGCGCCCTAAAAACAGTTAAAGGGGCATTCCACCAATTTTACACACTTAGCCTGTCAAAGTTGGATCAAGGTTTGAGGCCAATTCATGTCGTCATCCACCAAATTCTGCAAGGGTCCAAATGGACGCCTCTACAGACATCTGCATGTACCCCAACATTTTTGATGCACGCCACCTGTGCATGTGTAGGAAAACAAATGGTGCCTAAAACAAATGCTTGTTTTGCAAGTGTGTAGCTGCAGTAGCTGCTGTCTTGACTTTGGAGATGACTTGACTGCTTTATGCAGGCTTTCCATCGATGGTGTCCAAACACAATAGGAAGATCTAAATCCTCCAGAAGCCCTGTCCCACGTCCACCCACTGTGCTTGGAACACCTCACTAATCAAATTGATACGGTGCTGCAGCCCAATCTGTAACTTGCTGCTATATCCTGTAAAAAAAATTAAAGTTAAAGGCAGCCTTTCAGAAACATCCACGAGAGTCCTGTGTGTTTTTCTGCGTTTTATACGAGAGGCAATGTGAGTGTCTGTGTAGCAGACCAACTTGTACCCATTGTAGTATGAACAGAACCATATGCACGTCCGCTTTCTGTTGTCGGAGTCCGCATGGCTCATGTGGGAACCATGACTTGTCTTCTTTAAAGGAGATTCATCAAATCTGAGAAAATTCAGGGTGATCTGATGATGAAACACTGACGATGCCATCTGAAACTTATAGAAAATGAAAACTACTTTGATAAATCAATTTTCCAGCAACAATGACAAACTGTATTTCCAACTTCTAAAATGTGAGGATTTCTAGTTTTTCTTTCTCCTGTGTGGAGGTGAACTGAATATCTTTTGGGTTTCAGAACAATAAGGTGTCTCCTGGGCTGTTGTTCCCGCTTGTCTGATATTATGTAGATCAAACAATGAATGGAATAATCAAGAAAATAATTAGCATATTGACCGATATTACAAAGAATCCTTAGCTGCAGCCCTAAATGTGTAATTCTGGGAACAGAGTCTATACATTCAATGCTAGCTGGGTACAAGACAATAGCGGCTTCAATGGAAAAAGAGAGGTAGTTCACACAATAAATATCATAGACTCCCAAGTATTTAATGAGGCAATGTTCTCACCAAATCATGTGTATAATTTTCCCCTTGTGACCATTTCCCCGGGATGGTGCTATATACAGTATGAGAATGTGATCTTACTCAGCTTGGCTGTGATGATCAGCATGTATCACTGAAAACCAAGTAGGCTAAGTGACATTTCATTTGAGGTCATTGTATAGAGGTGAGAAAAGCATGATTACAAAAGCCAGAGTGGATGGTATCTTTTCTTTGTAGGCCATAGGGTAAAGACAGATAACTGAACTTTTTACAAATATTCTGAACAAATCCCAGCCGTGTTCTCTAACCCGCTCATCTAAACAGCTGTTCTGAAGATGGCCTGCCCCTCTATGTGCCTCCTCAGTGCTCACTGAGTAAGCAGTGTAATACTGTAGTGCAACGCATGTGTGTGCCAAGTCTGGAGTTGTAGACTGGAGATAGTCCAGCTCAACACTACGTTACAGTAGGTAACCCAGAAAAAAGTCCAAGAAAAAAGTAGCAATAGAATTTTATATGTTTGATCTATATTTAGCAATTAGGGCTACAGCTAATTATCATTTTCCTTGTTAGTTAATGTGATAACTTTTCAGATTAATCAATTAGGAGTCCATCTTGAAACAGTTTAGGTTCAGCCAACAGCTCAAACACATTTGATGTACAGATGATAAGAAAGAGAGAAAAACACTAAATCCTTATTTAAGAATCTGAAAGCAGCAAATGCTCTTAAGTGTCCATGTGTCATTTTTTACTTTGTCACCAATCAATAAATTAACCAACTGCTTTAACACTAACAGTAATACCTTCTTCCTACATCCACTCCCCGGTGCCGTAGCTTCACCTGAGCCGAGTACAGCCAGATTACAGGGATCGATCATTACTAGACGCCGGTGAAGCAACAGTCTGGGAAGTAGACTTGCTAACGCTCAAACAAACATAACCTTGGTTTATACAGCTACATTTTCATTAATTCTAAACGGAATGCAAATAAATCAGTGAAAGGAGAATTGCAGCAACGCGGGCTTTTGACCAAAAAAGGTGGATAAGGAATTTGAAGTGAGCACGGTGTGGGGAAGGCAGATAAGATAGAGAAATATAGAGCAAAAAAAAAAGCTGGCAAAATTTGCAGGAGAGAGTGGAGCGTGAGGTGAATGAGTGATGTGCCCTGGTGATAAGAGAAGGAAACGAGGCCATACTTCACTTCCAAAGTAAGTGGAGGGAAGTTATTAACTTTCACGAGACAGATAACACTGTTACCTTGGACTGTAGATAACACGGATTACACTTTTTCAGGTCTTGGCCATTTAGTCTCCGCATTCTCTCCCGGGGATAATTTTCTGCTCTCCATCATCATTTTGCTCGTAGATTACCTTCAACCCAATTCCATTATTCTCGTTTGTTATCTTTGAATATTTGCCTATTCTTTTATTTGCTGCACTGAAATTGACTTGGTTGAAAAACTAAAAGTCAAGAGGGTCAATTTAATACAGACACTGCGTTTTCTAATCTTACAGCGGGCCTAATAAGTTGCAGCTAAAGCAGAGTGCGTGTAGCCCTGGGGGCCCCGCTTCAGTCATGCAGCAACAATGACCAGTAACTACTGTGCTCTGCCGTGCAAAATGGACAATAGGAGTGTATCCAAACGCACATTTATGTAACTGGGGAGGCATCTTCGCATGGTCGGCACACATGGGCTGGGTGGGGTCAGCGTGCCATGAACAGGAGGGTGTGCTGATGAACTATTTTTCTTGTAATTATCTTTTCTTATGATGTTGCTCAGTGACACACAATAAAAATGGGCCAGTGGAGCGGATATTACAGGCAGCTTTCTTTGCTTTGCAGGAAAAATAACAGCGTTTCTGAGAGGCGCAGTCACAGGGTGAGAATTTATGGCACCAAACATGTAAATATTACACCATAAATACACTGCGAGGGAAAGGTGATGAAATCTTCTTTACATAACTCCACAGAGAACGGCACAGATGTGTGTGTGTTTTTTTTTTTTTCTCCCTCTGAATCAACCTGCTCTGTGGCCCCAAAACACGTTTTTTTTCCACCGCAGTCACAGTTTTCATCAGGTCAGCTAATAAGAAAACTTATGAGCTGTTGTTTGACCTGTGATGAATCATTCCACACGAGTTTTTTTTTTCTCTCTCTCTCTCTCGTCATCTGACGTCTTTCTTTCTAAGATTAACACCATCTGCTTTTTGCACAAGCTGTGTTGTGACCCCCTTTTATGTTGTTTTGTTATGTTATACTGTGTTCAGTGTTCGCTTTCCTTTTTGTGTAATACCAAAATATTGTTTCAAGACAAACAACTGGAACAAGGGGAGGACAACTCTGGAATAAATTATGAAAAGAAAAACAGAGAAAATGATCCTAAATGGGTCAGTCAAGAAACTGTAACACGTAACTAATACGACATATATACATTTATATATTTGATGATTAATCTCTGTCTGGAAAGAAGCACCTTTAACACGTAGCTTTTTGGTTATTCTAGCCGCCTATTGCAAACATACACCCGCTTCAGCTATTTCTAGATCATATACTGCCGTTGTGAAAGCTGGAGTGTTTATTTACTATCCTGATGTTGGCTGGCATTCGGAGATGCCGCGGTGTTTGCTTCCTGTGATAATCTACGCAGCCGGCTTGTGAAATCAGATTCTCATGCACTGTTTGAAACTTCTCTCACGCCTTGTGACATCCTCTGTAAGCTGCGGCCTTCTCTCCAGCCAGCAGGCATCGGGCGAAATCGTCATGATTTTATTCAGTAAGCCGGTGTGACTATTTTTTCTAAACAGTGTCTGCTGCCTAGTAAGTAATGGAAGGTTGTTTTATACGTGCACACATATTGGCAGCACACACACACACACACACACACACACACGCGCAGACAGAGCCCTAATCCACATCTACACACATTCGGCAGCAGGAGTTGATAAATAGCTGAAGGAACACAGCATTGGGTTTCATCCTCTGCAGACTATGATAACAATCTACCGCAGCGCCAACTGTTTCAAATCACGCTATCCGAGCGTTATTATATAAATGCTGCAAGGCTCGGCATCGCCAATACTTCTTTCGCACTTTTAAAACTGCACACCTGAAAGACCCGATGATGCCCGGTGTGTGCAGCCAGTTTAACATCCCGCTCTGACCTCTGTCGCCGTCTGAGGATCGAGTGGCCAAACCACAGCGCCGAACAGCTGCTCTGATCTTTCATGGAAATCAACAAGTGGTGATGGTGAGGCGGTGTGAGCTAGAGAATCACACTGTGGTCAAGAGTACGGATAGTCCAAAAAGCGTGCTATATTAAACCGTATTCCTCTGTGCCTCGGCTATACGGGAAAGTGTGTACATGACAGGAGTATTCTGTGCATGCTGTTCCCAAGTCTTTGTCAAGGTCAAAACAAGGTTCAGGAATGGGCCAAATGGGGGGAAAGCATTCCTTTGCTCCAAAAACATCTCTTTAAAGACACTTAATGGCCACACGTGTAGAAAGGGTCGAAGGGAGGGGTAATCAAACTGTGTGGCAATGACAGAAACAATGGGCAAGTTACAATGGGGGGCACTGATACATGGTGTAAATGTTTACGATTCGGCTGTCTCGAGATAACCTGCTGGACGAGCTTGATTGTTTTTCAGATGAGAACAGGTTCACGATGAAGGGTGCACATACACTCTCAATGCATATCAGGTCCTACGCTATTCTAAAACATCTGTATTGTAAAAAGGGTAATCTGTGATTGCTGCCCTAGAACCACACATTTTAACTTTCAAAGAATTAGGAGTTTACAATGACATACGCACTGTTTTGAGGATGCAGTTCGGCTGCTGACTTTGCCGGTAACAAACACATCATTTGATAAAATACCATGCAGATGTCAGAAGAAGAAGGCGGATGTTTTGGTCATTATATAACAATGCAGATGTTATTACAAGCAGAAACTACGATAACGGCTACAGATTTTATTTTAATATATTTTCAGAAAAACGCGAAATTATCATGCTGGTTTGAAAATATTTAATCGGTCATATTGAGCAGATATCTCTGGTATTTGTCACATGAACATTCCTGAAAAATTTAATGTTATTTCATCTGAGGATGCCTACATCGCCCATCAGAGCTCCTGTTTCCAGGTATTCTGCCGCACACCCTCATCAATTCCTACATTTTTGTTACTCACATAGCAACCATGTCGTCAATCGTGTTTTCTGTCAGACGATGCCTTGTGTTGCCATAAAAATCACTGCACTCTAGATAGCGTGATTCTTTTTTTATACCATGTAAGGAAACTGTCAGGAATTCCACACATTGTATGAAGGTCATTTTGACAACCTTTGGGGAGCCTGAAAAGACCTACTACCTCACCACCTAATATTCCAGCCAAGATCGCTCTGCCCCCCCTCCTTGCTTGACATCTTGTGGGAGCAGGGTGGCCATTCATCAGCCATCCAGAGCTCCATCTATCTGGACCACCCAGTGAAGCTTCGGCATTCATTTGTGAATAAAACACTTTGAAAATTAGTCATCATGAATTTCTGACGCCGCTGCCAACTTTCTCTGTGTTGCAGCTTTTTGGTAAGGCCAGACCAGACCAGCTCTGGAGGATGTTTCATTGAGAAGATTCATGATTTGACACCAGCAAATACTTGTTATCTGCTTTAAAGTGGCTTTTTTTTATAGCTGCCCTTTTAATACTGTCAATTTGTCAAACAGAGACCTAATAGGCTTTTATTCAACCAATTTCACCTGAATCCTTCACAAATCCTCTCAGTCTGATGATCTCTTGTCAGTTTTCAATATTTCTCATGCCTCTTGTAAGACATTGTAATATTCCATGCGTTTTATCCTCAGAAACATCTTTCTTCCTCCCTGTGACTTGCAGAATATTACAGAACAACCTCTTTCTTTCCCTTTAATTAAGATTTCCCTTTAAGATCACCTGGCAAACTAATTACCAACCATGTCTGAGGCTGACAACAGCTATCTATAAAGATATGTGGGAGGGGGAAAAAAAAAAACTTTGAAAAACTGAAAATGACATCTTTACTGTACTGAAATCTACTGTTACGTCACATGTGACTACAGTGAAAGCTGTAACGTTTAGTGGAATCAAATGGCGCCTGGAGTTTTAATTAGTTTTATCAAGAACAAATGTAATGAAGGTTAAGAATCGCAAAGGATCCACAATGAAGAAAGGACTTATTGGATCTGAAACAGCTTCGCACTTCTTGATTGCTTTTGGCAAGTCCTTTTTTTTGACTTGCTACCGACTGCTACGTACAGAAAATATTTTATTTTTAATCTTATTATTAAAGATTGCAGATAAGCAGAGAAAGTTTCCCACGTCATTTGACAGTAACACTGTGCAAGGTGTACTTTATCAAAACCGCCTCCTTCTTGGTCCCACTTTGAAGTCTGGAAACATCTAAGTTCACCAATGACATCATAACATTCCTCAGGTCTCTGTGGTAATGTTTTGGAACGAAGGGCTGTGCACCCTCAATGCACCAAGTATCGCAGAGTGCACATTACCTGGCAACCATTTAAATGTGCCTTGTAATTCTGGTACCGACCCCTTTGGTCAAAGAATGAACATGCAATCACTCTCTGTGGCGGTCCACTGAAGGAGACCTACTTGACTCCCATCATAGGATCAATCAGCTCAAGTCAGGGTTCAACAACATGATGTGTCATCCTCAATAGCTTCTCTTCAGGCTGAGTTATAGATCAAGGTCATGTACATGATTGATCGTGATTGATCTGCCCGCATATTCTGGCCATGAGTAATAGTGGCAACACAACAGGAGATAGGCCTCATTTGAGCGTAGGAGGAAGCAGCAATAAAAGCATCAGGAGGTCAACTCCTTTTTAGGCTTGTGGCTGAATTGGAGTCAGCAGCACAGGTTGCTGATTAGGGCAGAGGGCACCAACTTGAATTCTTGAGCCATTCAGACAGGACAGGCTCCAGTGGTCAGGAAACAGACATGACTATTGTAAGCTGCTATGGGACGCAGGGTAAATATTTAGCTTGGAGAAGGAGGGGTAATAAATTTTGAGAGCTTTAACCCAATTGCTCGAAGCTTGCAGCTATGAGCGGCCCCGGGGTGGGATGATGGGTGACTGGAGAAGAGGTGGGAGTCTGCACAACATGGGTTCAGGGAAGCACATGCTTACAATAGACATGTGGTTCGAAGGAAAACAAATCCTACAAACTACATTGTTTGTGTGTTCTCTGATTATGAAGTTGGCTGTTGGAGTAATTATCATGTAGCCTACTTCCAGGCGGATTTATCTGGATGAGCCTCTTTTGTCCTATCAAGCTGTTCCTAATTGTTACCGTTCTCACATGAAACAACAGAAGCATTCAACCTTGTCCACATACCGGGTTGGACACATGAAAAGACGTGAAGTGGAACAGAAGAATTACAGTAGATATGTGCAAACTAACAAGTTCTTAATCTCCTGATGAACACAGACGTACACCCACAATTGCTCAAAATCGATATTGTCCCAGTACTGGTCGTCTTAGACAATGTCTGTGTGCAGTCCTCCATCAAATTTATGTCCCACCTTAAAATGTGAGGCTATAATCTTTAAGGGCTCTCAGGTGAGCAACCACAAAGTATTTCTCACACTGTGGAAAAAAGCAACTTTCAAACCCATGTTTGCAAACGAGCTCGCCATAATGTAACGTAATACTACACTGGAATGATGCCTGCAATATGTCGTCTTTGAAAATACTGAATTACGAGTGCTGTAGGTCCACTAAACCCCCTCTTCAACAGACTGCACCTCTCCCCCTCCATTTTCCCATCTTTCCATCTGTTTTCGTCTGACTGGAACTTTGAGAAAGAGAGCGATAAACTGTCAAATCTGCTTTGCCAATGATCAACAGGAAACTGCAGCCAGCGATATCCTTTTGAGCGGCAGACACTGACCACAGATGTATCACTGTGGCAGCCATCAAGAGGAAAGATTTGTAGTCGGTCGAACATGGATTTGAGAGTAACTGTCAGCGACAAAAACATTTGAGTGACCCAGAAGACCTACTCGAAGAAAGATGGAGGAGATGCACTTTCCAGCCGTGAATGGAAGTCATTTATATCAATAGTGATGATTTGTCAAATAGCTCAAGTGAAAACAGCCAAATGAGTGAGCGCAATGCTTCCCAGGAGCCAAGATCAACTATTACCTCAACATTGTGAACCTTTAAGAAGGGAATGTACGCTTTGATCACTTAATTAACCTAATTACCTAATAGTGGAAAATGTGCGGGGGGAAATTGTGATTGGGCCTCCCAGCAGCTTCCACGTAACTCAACTCAATCATCACACGTCAGTTAACTCAGTTGCATAAGCGGATATTTTGGGCCGTGCTGGCGGCGCAGCTCGAGGGATGTCAGTCGGAGGCAGCAGAATGATATGTCTCAATTTCTGTTATATGGATTGACACAAAAATTTAATGAGGCTCTGTGTCTCCTACACACTTTAACTACTTCCATAAGGTGTACGGTATTTGTGTTGTGGAGTTTTCCTGTCTTATCTTTTCCTTCTCCAGTGCTTTGGATTACTACTCCCAGTTTGAACAAATGCCGTTTAAAACCAGGCATTTTAAATTCTTCAATGTTGGCCATTTCTGAGCCTCTGACCTCTGTGGCCTGTGACCTGACTTCTCATGACAAAACAGACATCCTTTGTTTACAACCCGCTGCACGTTGCAGTCGCTGGTATGTGTGTGTGTGTGCTTTTAAGACTCACGCTGAGGTTTCTGTCCCAGATCTGGATGGTGCCATCTTGGCAGCCTGCTGCGATGAGCTTCCCATCACGGCTGTAGGCGCAGCATGTGGGGGTGACCTTCTTCCCCTGCAAGGAGCGCGGTTTGAACACCGACTTGTGCTTCTTCTCTGAGTGCAGGTCCCAGGTGCGCACGGTGCTGCGAACAGACAGAACATTTTTATTTATCCTCAACCAACTGTCATGAATCAGTCATAATATATCTGTCCCTCAAAACATATTTGATCATCAACACCGCCCCTCCGCCGTAATAAATCAGATACAGTGTGCCCTGGTCATTCTCATGAACATGAGGTTAGGCAGCTCTGTGTTGCCGGGCGAGACGTTTTGCAAACAGCCGAACAGTAGATCAGTCTGACAGGTATGTCTGAAGCGTCCATGAAATCCCGATTCTCTTTCCTACATCTGCTGAACACATTACACAACCTGGAGCACTGAGAAGGGGCTTTAAACGCAGCGTTTTCATAATGCACAAATGAGAGATTTCATTCCAAAATGTCATAAAATAGAAGTCCAATAAAAACCCCTGATGGTTACAGCTTTATATATAAAACATTGAACGCATTAAACCAACCCAAATGGTGCTAAAAATAAAATATACATTTATACTTGATGCAAAAATTAGGAGACAAAGTTTTCCATCAGTCGTTAATTGCAGTTTGCTGCCATTTGGCTCAACCATCTGTTAAAATAAGGGTTAACAATTAGGTTACTGAAAAAAGCCCTCAGAGCAAGTACGGCGTTTCTGCATTCTCTGAATCAGATTAAAACAAGGTGGAACATTTCACCTTTGACCCCGTTGGCATGACTTTCTGTCAAGAGGTTGTCCAAGCAAGAGATGTCGCACACAACTTCCTACGACGTAACCGAAAGTTAAACCCATACGACTAGTTAACATGTTGCTGTAGTAGTTTTCAATCAACTATCTCTGTGTCTGTAAAGAGTTCCCAATGAAACCAATGGGTGTGCAAAACAAATGAGGGAAAAATAATTATGACAGGACAAACTGAGGCCAATACAGAGACTCAACACATTTATTTATTGAAAGACTCCACACAAGCACACCGAGCCAACCGCTCACAAACCCACGCCGAGACTCGAGTACGTCCAAATGCGTCTGTGACCGACTGCTTGCTTTGGTGAGCATCTTAACCTTCGGGTCACGGGGTCAGCAGAGGAGTATAAACACACAGGCAGGGCTGCTACTAACAGCCGAGGCAAGGATTCCTCCGTGGCCCTCGACAAAGTCACAGACACACACACTCAACAGTGTTTGGATAAGTCTAACAATGTGATACAAATGCCAGCTGAAGACATATGGTTTGAGTGAGAACTGGCAAGGGTCAAATAAAACTCTGTTTGATGCATAGTTGTGTTTAAATCTACATAACCCAAAGCTGTTAATAAATCAAAAAGCTGGGGGGGAAAAAGCCACGTATATAGAAAAGGACGTTGTGGGATACGAGCTGAAGCCTTATGCATTGTACAGTAAGTGTTTATAAGAGAAGTGCATGTGTGAGAGGAAAGGACAAAGAGTGATAACCGTGGACTGGATGACAAATAGGTCCACCTGCTGCCTCACACAGACATCTCTATTTTGTTTACAGAAGACCGTAGGCGTCTGTCAGCCAAATAAAGACAACATAACCTTTTCCGTGGCACAGGTTGGAATGCAATTTATCGTAAGGGTTCTTTCCAAAACATGGCACTGCTGGCTGTCAGGGGGACAGAGCGGAGAGGTTGGAGACCATCAGCGCTAAGAAAACTACGAGCGTCGGGGCAAAGACTGCACACGCTCACCTGGGGAAACTCTCTGCTCTAACCTGACATGGTTCATTTAAGTCTAAGAAGCTTCTATCCCCAATTAGAGTCACAAAACTCACTCTAAAGAAGTAATAATTAAAATTAACTTGCAGCCTTAAACCTTTAAATTCGACAAGGTGGTTGTTTTTGGAAATTAATAGCAATGAAAAAAGCATGAGATGTGAAAATACTCACATGTAGCATTTAAAAAACATGTTAGGGTAATAAGTTTGCTGCCTCCTCTACGTCAAAACCCTGTTTTCCCTTCAATCAGCAGCCACCTTTCCCTCAACAAACGCTTCAGAGACAGAGGGGTGAATGTAATAAAATGAGACCCATACAGCCTCAGTCATGCATGTGCACTTTACGAGGTAGCACAATCGTTCACACATCAACTGAGGAGTGACAATTCCCTGGGCCCCAGATTTTATCTGTCCTTCAGGTTATAGGCCTAGTGGGGGCGATGGTTGCTGGGATCACCTTCCCCAGATGATGAGATAAGGACGAGACAGAAAAGAAAGGCGTACGTTTTGTTTAGGGTTGTTTACTGGTCGAATTCCAGTGATAGGCTGCGTTGCCCGATGACTGGTTGACTGACTAACTGGGGCTCTGTTATGAGAAAGGAGGATTAAGAGGGAAGATGCTCCATCTCCCATCACAGCTGAAGAAGATAAAGTGGGGAAATAACAGAGGGATTTGGGAGGAGGCGTCCACACAATTGCACTCAAGCGAGCAAGAAAAACCAAAGAACAGAAAGGCTTTGGCCCGAGCGCAGATGGACTGTGGGTACAGTGAGAAGCCGATTCACAAAAACTCACAACATTATTAGTGTGGCTCCGAGCTACAAGATCAATCTAAAGATGCCTTAGCGGGGCAGGTGTGAGCGTACACAACAGGTACAACATACCGGAAAAAAAGCTGTCGCAGTGTCTTTGTGCTCGAGTCAGGACAGCTTTTCAGATTTAACCAAGCAATCGTGTGATGAAACGCTTTCACACCCATAAGGATGTGGCCCGATATTCAGTTCAACAAGAAGAGAAACAAACACCGTATTCACAGATCAAACACTAAAGAACTAGATGTTAGTGTCAGGCAAAAATTCCACCATGACTGTAAATTGAACAAGAAGGATAAATGCTCTCCTTTAAGGTATGGTATGCGCATTCTTGGGCAGGACATGGAACACTTGCAGTGTAAGGTAGGAACAGTCGGAGATGCGCTGGACTGTGGATGAACCTGATGTGTCCGACAGTGTGAATCAGCCCAACATGCTCGCACACATTTTGTGCCGTCTGTCCTCACTCTTCATCCCTGTTCTGTCACGCAGATCACACTTAATAACCCAGCAGCAATGCCCTTTGCCTCAAAAAAAAAAATCCAAAGTGAGCTATCACCCAGCGTTTGGCCGAGAGCGCTGAAAAACAGACGACCTACTTACTTGACAAGATCAGTATGGCAGAAATAATCAATTAGGAAACAGGCCGAGAGAGAGAAAGAAATACTTTTTAGCACATGTGCAATAAAATATCGATCAATTTATTCACGCAGGAACATTTTAAATCTGCTTTGTGTGACTTTTTATTTCTGTGGATGGTCGCCAAGGATAACTTTGTTTGGTTTGAGTGCATGACCAAGAAAAATCATTTGCTCCTCAGCAGTAAAAAGTCCTGCCATGTTGTCCGCTGGGTCTCCTTTGCATACAGCCGCACATTCGAGTCCAGCTGCAGCCCTGAAAGCAGGCCAGCACGAAGGGAATCCCTGGCATTTGAACCTCCTGGAAACATTCCTCAAATTGTGTGTATTTGTGTGTACACATGCCTCACAATTCAACAGAAGTAACATGTGGGCCCAATTAGAAAGTCGCCGTTTGTCCCATCCCCTGCTCCACTGGCTGAAATTTCAGTCACAAAAAGAGCATAACACGGATTTCTGATCATTCTCCTGGGCACTATAAAGCTGCGCAAGTAAAATAAAGAATCGGCAGCGTTGTGTCCTTAAAGACACTAAATCAAATCTTCCCGCAATGTTGGTTCTACTTTGTTAAATGTTTAAAGCAGTACGGTTCGTTAACTTTAAACAGAAATTATTCAAGGTTTTTAAAGTCGCTAGTGTTTAAGACTTCTTTTATTCGAAAATGTTGCTGTTCTCAAAACACGCCGCTGCCAGCGAGACCCGGCCATATTTTCAGTTTACTTCGAGTTCTGCCCTGCCAAAGAAAGACTTCCACCGGGAGCAGGCCGAGCACATATCGCCTTCGCTTTCCGAGAAATAAATCCATAGTTTTCAAACAGTTGTTCAGCCTTTCGGCAAAGACTTAGATTGAGTGGCTCGGTGCTTAATGGGCATTTGGCTGCCTCGGATCAAACGGGAATACTGTTGGAAAACACTGTGCCATTTTACGAACGCTTACTCTAAAAAGCAAACGACGGAAGAATGTGAAATGTTGACACGTTCACAGCACCGTGAGGAGAAACACTTTTCAGTGACCGACTTGTGTCGCACGGCTCCACTGAGGCCCCATTCAGGCCTCAGCTTGCGAGGACAATCGCTGCCACCCTGCTGCTGCATTAATAAACTGCTTCATCAGTGCTTCCCTCTCATCCAACTTCCTCTCAGGGAGGGAAAAAAAAAAAAGTCTGGGTTAATGAAATCATTCAGGGAGCTGGGAGAAAGCACTTATGAATGAGATTCCACACAACCAGGGGGATCTTTAATTAAGGAGCGGGGCGGTCCAGTGATCATGCTTAATAACCTATTCAAATAAACACAACAAAGACAGTCCAACTAGGTAGAAAGACCTTGATGTTGGTCTAATGTTGAAGCACACACAGACAGTAGCAGACACCCACTGGCACCACTGGCCGACTGCTGGTCCGTTCTAAAGACGTCCACTGACTAGAGCCGGGCCTCTCTGCAGAATCCAGACTTTACTCAAAGGATGGCACTGAAGTGGATGGAGCAGCAGAGACACGGTGGTGATTCAGATAAAGGCAGAAACATTCTTTTATCCGCCCGTAATAAACAGCATTAATAATCTATGAGGACTGAAAAGTCCGTAAGGGTTCAGTGTATTTCAGCTTCCAAAGGTCCACCTATAACGGCACAGCACCGTCACGGCTGTTTCACATCTTTATGGCAGCTGCAGTCTGAAATAATGCAGACACACATCTTACAACAGCAAGCTTATTGTTTGTCTCTGAAGTTCCTGTTTTAGTTTTGGGTAAGAGATCCGTGTTGTCATCCATAGACAGTGAGATCCTGGACATGCCGTCTGTGATGTTACACAGCGCCTACTGGAGATCTGATGTGGTTTTAACACTTGCTGGTTAGAGAAGCCAGATAATGCAAATCTGAACAAAAAGATGGGATCAAGATAAAGAGACAACTTTCATAACTGACACGTAAACTCTCCCAAACAGCTTTTGTCTTCTGTAAATCCAAGTTTTTTCCCCCTAAAAATCCCAAACAAGAGCGCATAAAATCAAGGCCACAAAATCTGTAGTTGCTTCAGTCCAGTCACAGCCAGTTCCATCTAAGATTAATTCAAGCAAACTCAGAATCCCCTCAAACCTGGAACCGTCCGGGCTTTAAAAAAACCCATTTCTATATACATGAAAGCGTTTATAATAATGCTTTACAGGTTTAAACAAAACTATGATGCACAGCTTTGCAGAAGATGTACAATGTAGCTGTAAGCAACATATCCTATCCTGACATCTTGAATACTTTCTGTTTACTTAAGGTCTGAAAAGAACTGGTTATCAGAAACAAGGACTGAGGTAATGTGATCTGTTAGTTTGGCACCTGTTTAATCTCCAGCAGTTGCATTCTGTTCGCACTGAAGCAATGAACGGGGACTTTTGACTGAAGAAGTGATAGGTTTGAGGGGTAGTGGGTTCACCAAGAAACCAAAATACATCATTTAAGTTAACCCCGTGTTGCACAGCACATTACCAACACGATGAAGTAGAAGTGCAGACAACTTCTTCCACCTGCAAATCAATACACGCAGTCGCTCGCTCTTTTTAAGTCGCTGCCTCTTTCCCTCTCTGAGACTCAGGTTGCTGTGTTGTGACCTGGTCTGCTGCTGTGAACCTTCCTCACGCTGCAGCTGCTCGGCCTGTGAATGGCTCCCTGTGCGCTCCTCTCCGCTGTTCTCCTGTGAGCTGGCCAGGGGCAACACCCAGTGCTAACGTGCCAGGGGAGGATTTCCAGAGCCTCAATAAGAGCTAAATAAACCAACCTCCACATCTGGGAGAGCAGTAACACTGGTAAACAGTGGGCCGTGGCCTACCCACAAAGCCAGGCCCTTGTTTCCACTTAATGATGATAGCCCTGGGTTTCTGCACTGCTGCCTGTCACACTCACTTAGACTCATCACTGTGCTCCGGCTCGCTCACATGTGTTCACTCACAAATATTCCCGCACACCTATACACGGGGCAGAGAGTTATAGCTTCTGCAGCCATACAGGTCTGGTGTTGTTTTAGTTAGGCAATAGGCTGCTAAAAAATCTGCTATCTGAGACGGATATGTTTGTATGTCAGCCTATTATCTCCTGTGGTCGATCTGGTTCAAATCACTGCATCCAAATAAAGAGCTGCATTTGGACAACATCCAGTATAAATGCACTGTGTATCAATGCACAGCTATGAGGTCAGACAGCACTTGGCAGAGGCATAGTTTGGACTAGAGGACTCCCTGCTGGTGACAGAGGAGATGAGAGCAAAATTAAGTCCATTCAGTGGGAGTACTGCTGTGGACAGAGACAACTGGGTTAGCCAGTCAGGATGACTGTGAATAAAATGTTGTAAGACTACTTGTAATCTTCAATGTTCTGGAAGTCACATGGAGTATTGCAACACAATGCTCTAGATTCATCACGTAAAATTAGATCCAACTTGCACTGGTATGAAAATGTATTTCAGATAATTATTTCAAAGCACAGGGCTTCTGCTGCGTACCACATCTCTCCTACCGCACACTGTTGCTCGTGGGGTTTTCTGAATGATTACTAATAATGACACATGCTTGTTGCTAAACCACAAAATGTTTAATATGCCTGTGCATGCAGCGGGCAGGTTAGTAACCATTTGTCTACATGAAAGCATCTCTTTCATATTTGTGGATTAGGTTTATTTACCAGACAGCAGCACAAGGGGAAGTGACAGCCTCCGACTATAACTCACAGCTTACAATACTTGTTGTAAACTTACCCATCGTTCGAGCAGGTCATGAACTCCTCCTTAATCTTCGGATGCCAGCAGCCGCCATTCAGCATTGCCGTGTGGCCCTGAAAAGAGCAGAAAATGAAAATGAACTAACTACACGCTTAACAAACACTAAATTGTTGCTGACCAAAGCCTGAGCCTAGCTTCTAATCACTCTGAGGTGCTGCACACAACCTAGAATCATGAGCATATTGTTTAATGTGAAACCAGTCTGCCACATGAGCATTTTTTCCAACTCATTTGATATTCAGTGACTAGCCGTAGAACTTGTACCCGTAAGAGCGAGTGGAAACTTAAAAGGGTAAACGCTGCCAGTAGGAACCAATGAAAGCAAATTCATGAGGGTGTATTTTGCAATCTTGCATGCAAGTAATGTGCAAAGACAGCTGCTGTTCTTCATCGTTAGCTGTTGTTCTTCATTCGTCTTGTGCCAAAACTGCTTTGCGAAAGGTCGCCAGTTAATTATTTCAAGGGTGCTGTAACATTTTTGTGATGGTGCACTGTCAGTGCAGTGCAACGTAAACTGTGTGGCAATGTGAGGTCTTTATGCACAGAGAAACATGCAGCAATTAGTTTGCCTGATCTGCATGAACTGTGAAGGGCTCTCCCTCGAGCAAAGGCCTCTTAATTTGATCATATTGTAACACTGACTTCGTGACATAGGCCTTGCCTTACAACTGAGCCAGTGAACCTGAGGCCGTGCAGCAGGCTGTGTCACAGCTTCAAACAGGGAGCTCCTTGCAGACTAACTTTTAGCCATTTCCTTTGCTGGAGGAGTCCTGTGGAGAATTACTCATAACAAATGACTTCAAAGCGGGATAACCCAGAGAGAGGCCTCCCCGACTGCCAGGTCAGAGTGGAACACTTCAGCGTGATGCAAAGAGGATTCAGACATGACATACCGCTATTTGACAGGACGCTCAAGAAAGCAGAGCCATGCGTGAGCAGAAGTTGACCAAATGACATCGGTATGTGTGGATCAGGAAGAGGGCCAGCCTGTTCACTGTCAGACACTTTAAACACACCACTTGAATAATTGATTAAGTGGAGCGGTGTATGTCTTGCTGTTTTATGACTAAAACGAATTTAAGATTGCCAAGTTGTTAGATTTTATGGTAACATACACACTCACTATATGATGAGGCTGAAGCTCCATTGGGCTGTGAGCGGCACGATTGCTTCTCTGTTCGGTGCAGCGACATCAAAACAAACACTCATCCATCACAGGAGCTTCACAATTACAGTAAAAGAGCCGCTACCTTCCTAAACAAATCTGATTCCTCTTCCTTAACAGTTTAGGACAACAAATTGCCAATGACTAAAAAGAAACAGACGGCTATTCATACCAATAGTAAACATAGAGCATGCTAATGACAAACAGAACCAAAACAAAAACCCACTCTGACAACAAAACGGAGTCAGGATAAGGGACTGAGGGGACAATACTGGCATTCCCAGTGTGTTGTTATTTAAAGTGTTTCCAGCAGAGCGTACACTGTTCTTTGTATTTATATGGTTTAAGTTTAGGAATGCAGAGAGGATTAGCTCATTAACGAATTAGTTGATGGACTCAAAATTGGGATGATAAAGATTTCTCAAGAACAAACGCCAAACATTCTTTTGTTTCAGATTCCCCGATGCAGTTATTTGCTTGTTTTTTTTCCTGTTTTTCTGTCTTTGGGTTTTGAAAAAGGCAATATAAGTAGCAGATAAGTGGCGTCGTAGACCACTTCCCGTGTTTATTGGTGGGCCCTATATATAGGTCTGTGGCTAGCATACAGGAAGATTAAACAACCACGTCACAAGCGCATAGTGCAGCACAGCATAGCCAGCTCCACGGGACAAGCCTCAGCAGTCCACTTGCATCTTAACGATATGGGGCAGAGAAAAACAGATCATGCAAAGGTTTACAACACCAACTATAATGCAGTCCTCATATTCCTCCCCAGGCCGTTTCACCGCAATTTACACCTTGAGTCGTTTGAGTAAAGAAAAAAAAATCCTGGGACTCATCATCAGTCAGAACTGAGTAGGGCTTACGAATGAGAGTGAAATGTTTTCAAGAACCCAAAGAAGTCCTTAGGCCTTCTACCGAAGCACTTAAGATTTGTTTCTGTTAAGATTTTTCCACAAAAAAAATTAAATTACATGGTTAGACGTTCTTAGATGACATCTATCTCACAGTGAGATGAGTTTGGAGGGAAGCACTTGTCTGTCAACAGAGGCAAAGCAGAGGCAAGGACTTAATTATCACATGAGACACAGCTAATCGACTGGGACACTGTCAGCGGGCCAAAACGCATTTCCATTGAACCAAACTCATCATCAGCTCCAGATGGGACAAGAATGGAGGACATCCAGGAAAACTCTACTTGCAATCAATGGGCCTTCACTTCAAGTAATTCATATGGGTGGTATAAACCATGTCTAAATGCACTGCAGCTGGCACAGATGGTCACTGACCACCAATATAGCTCTCTTAAACACAGTAAAACCCAAACATGGACACTTAATTAGGATCCTTCTTTGTAGATTCAGGTATATACAAGAAGTGAACCATGACAGTCCGGAGAGTATGTTTTGTTCCTCTCCCCCCTGAGACTGCCTCTGGCCGCTCTCACAGCACACACCATTATCCTTGCATACAAAAACAGACCAGCTACACCTTGCTACCATTACACGTTGGCAAGTTGTTTCCGCAAAGCTTAGCAGATCGTCCTATCCGTGTTTAGAATTAGCAGTCACTCCTGGGCAAACTGCTGTTGCTATAGTAAGGAAAACATAAACACCTGTAAGATCCGTCATATTAATTCCAGATTAATACAACTTGGGTCCTGTTTTTATAGTTTTGGCCACTATTGATCATTATTTTACTTCCACTTAACAGAAATCTGGTAATTGCTAAAAGTCAGACAAGGCGAGAAACACATAACGTTAGAAGAAAAAGTTTTAAGCAGGTGAAACTGATTTTTAACATCCATCTTGGTTAACAGGCCAGCTTCCTGGTTTAACTTGACATAACATGCTTTTGTTGTGCACAGTTTTTCTCTGCAAGGGGTCTTGATTACAGAGAGTTCTGTATTTGTGATTTTTTTCCCTCCAAATAAATGGATCTCAAATCTGGTCAAAATGTGTTGGCGTCTTTACAACCTGTGGGACCATCTGACTGCTCATGTTTATTGCCCTGTCAGACCTTGTTGCAGTGTTTCCAGATCTCAGCAATTACTTTGATGATATGTTATCGTAAACCAACTGAAATGATGGACAAATGGACAGAAATTGGAGGCCCAAGCTGAATAAACTGAAATCACACGAGAACAGGACTCGTGCATACCTTGGTGTTGGCCATATCCACAATGTACTGATCTCCCTTCACACACTCCATGACGTTGAAGCCGTCACGGTCCAACACCTTGGCCTGTGCGTTGCCAGAAGCGACCAGGATGACATCACCGGTGATGCTGTACTGCAGGGACTTGATTTGATGACTGAGGAGACACACAAAGAAAAAACAAAACATGACATAAAGTTAGTTTCAGTTTTAATTTCTGCAGCAATACCGTGTTCCAATACGTGTGATTTAGAGTCAATTTGCAAGACATCTGCAAGCTTTGATTGTACAGCACTGTCGTATAATATAAAACGCTTTTAAACCTTCAAATAGTTCAGGTACAAACACAAACAACAGATACATGTAACTATAGGAACAAAACAGGCCGACATCTGACGAACACCTGATGATTGGCATCTTTGATCTACAACAGGCAACAAACAAACACGCTAAACCACAACAGCGAGCACGATAGCATTTTAGCTGCGAAATGGAAAGAATTACCTTGAAACATTTTACACACAAACATGTTACATCTGTATGTTGCTGCGCAGGATGTGTACAGGATCTGGAAACAAATCCCCAATGGAAAAAGAAAGACGCAGCTATTGATCTATTTAAAAAGAGGAACTATATTTGTGTATTTTGAGCTCTCTGTGACATTATATGGAATTTTCAGAGGAACATACAAATGATACTACAATGCACGGCAATGCTTGTTCTTAAGAGACAACTATCTACACCACCAGAGTGGAATGAGGTCAGTAATAAGCAGCAATAACACAGCAGGGTGTAGAAACTTGTGAAAAGAATGCGAGGCTGCCATCATTTTAGTTATTAGCTGGAAAGTAGGGAATAAATGGATCTTTAAAGGCTCACCGGTTTCTCAAACTCCTTGTTGTTTTAGTTTAACTGAGCTCACAAGTTGCCTTTTTAAGTCAGGAAAGAGGAACAGTGGACCTTAACAGCACCGCTTGTTAGTAAACCAAACAGGCTACTGGATCACATTGTAATCAAATTAAATGTAGCGTAAATTTTTGTTAATAAGGGGAAGCCTGCTCCAGCTCAGCCCACTGATTCCCAAAACCAAAAAAGAATTTGATCTTTGATGATAGTGTCAGCGAAACACAGAGTAAACATGCATCCACATACACAAACACCCACATATCTAAACCATCTGCTTCTGAAGGGCTCATTTTGCATGAAAAGAGAGGATGTCACAGAGTTAACACAAGGCTCAACGAAGCTCAACAAATGCATGTGTGTTTGTGTATGTGTGCACACTTTGGCACACATAAAAGCAGTCGATGCACTGGATGTTTGCATGAAACTAATTAAGCACATGTTAAGCAACTGTGTTGATGTTCCACGTACCACTCACAGGGCTGCAGGGATCTGAAGGCCTGCAGAGCCTGGTCCATCCCGGCAAAGTCCCAGAAACGCACATCGTAATCGTATCCGCCGGTCACCAGACGGGCTCCAGAGGGGTCTAAGCCAAGAGCTGATACCTAAAGAGACAAACACGTTTTTTAAAACTAAAATACAGTTCATGAGCCCGTGCGGTTTAGAGGCCAACCAACTGTCGAAGGCTGCTTCAGATGCTCGAAATATTTGACAATGTAGTCACACTGGCTCGGTTAAAGGCCGCAAAAACAAATAGAAGTCAAATGTTTAAAGTTTGTTCTTCTGTCATGATCCAATTATTCAAAACAAAACTCCTCTTAAGCTGCAGTAATTACTGAATCTGGCTACCAGACTCAAAACGAACCCTTTTTTTATCACTTCTAGAACAAGTGAAACAGACTCAGAGTTGCCCTGATGCAGACATTCAGAGTCAGATCTTTCAGTGTGAGCATAATATAAATAAAATATGTTGATGATGAGCCATTTATGAAAAATACACATTTGACAGATACAATTTTTTATTCTTGGCAAACTGAAAATCACTGAATACTTTCTTCAAAGAGTCTACAACACTTGTAATTTCCTGAAAGTTAAGTCCTTACTGTCTTGGTGCCGTGCTGCAGAGTGATCTCATGAGTGTCTGGAATCTTCTTCACTGGATTCTGGGGTGGAAAGTGGAGACAATTAAAAGACTTAGGTGTGTGATTATGATGTAGCATATCATTCAGTTTTATATATTTTTATTTTAACAGGCTGTGTGACTATGAATGTATCTGCTGTGAATTACTGAAGACAACAGTCACACTGTTTAACACTGAGCTGAGCTGTTTTGTTCAGAACTGTGTCATTACCTCATTTCATCTCATATTGTAAATACTCCTCCTATGAAAATCAATACATCACCCATATTTTAAAAAGATCAATAATGTAAGATGCTGATATCTTTTAGGTGTCTCTGCCATTTTGGTATCACAAGAAACAGAATCAAACGAGATATGCAACATCTCAAGGGCATATTACTCTTCTTGTCATGAATAGCGCAACATCGATCATTGATTCCATTTTCTTGTGCTGCCATCTTGTGGTGAGATTTCAAAACAACCACAACAACCAACTGTTGCCTTCATCGCTGAAGAAACTACAGCAGGTAGCAAAATTATACGTGCAAATAATAAAATTAGAGATGACTGAATTCCATTTTACTTTCTCAGTATCTGGGTCGTGGCATTGTGCTTTCTATCTCACTCTAACAGACTCCGTGTGCTTTTCCTTCTGGGTTCCTTCAGGAAGTATTCTACAGGTAATGTCAACTATTTCAGACCTACATTATCATCATCATCATCATCTTGTGCTTCCTCTTCGTCGTCATCATCACTGTGAGCTGTGCTGCCTGAGTAACCTGGAGGAAGAGGTGGCCCCACAAGCTCATCGTCATCCTCCTGGGCTGCATGTTGAGGAGGCACCGGGGGTCCGATAAGCTCAGAGTCAGAGTCAGAGTCAGAATCTGATCCACTGCTGCTGTCACTCTTGTGTACCCTATACAAGAAATTTAAAAAAAACAACAAATGAAGTACAAACTTAATGCAAACTTGAACAGTAGACATGTAGCTAAATGGGCAGCCAGAGGAAACTGTAAAATATTAGTTACACAAAGACAAAAACTAAGAAATCCTTGCCTACCTTGAAGAAGCAGCTGCAGCTTTTTCTTTCTGACTGTGAACCAAGGGTTTGACTGACTTGGAGCTCTCCCCTTCCTCCTCCATCGGAGTCTCCTTCTGCCTCTCCTCTGAGGATCCAACGATTACAATTACACTCATGATTACTAAACGGCTTTTGTCTTATCGTGACTAAGGAAAACCTTACCTAAGACATGCTGACTTCTCTCAATTGCTGTTCGCCGTGTCTGCTCAAAAATGGCATCAAAGTCAAAGGTGCGGGCTTTCTTACCTGGAAGGTACAAATTAAACTTGCTTGAGCTATCACAGTCACAACAAAAATGATCAGTTTATCATATAAGAAATAAAAAAGTCGAATAAATGACCATTTGTGCCGCATCGCACATACCAAACCCAGAAAATCCCATGACGGATCCAATGTCTCCATCACCACCCATCTTGTCTGAAGCTGTAAAAGAGGTGAAATGTTTATCATTGGCTGTTTATGATGAAAACTGTAATGACAGTTTCTTTTCAGTGAGAGGAGGTGCTTCATTATTGTCTTGAGAGGTACAATCTCCTATCATATTATTAAAATCAGCATGTTATTGTACAAAATGCAAAAATATAAAGCAGTAAGTTGTGAAAGCTGAAAAACAAGTAACGATGTAAAGGGTCTTGGCATGCTAATAACAATACAATAACATTAACATAACAACAGACTGCATATGACCATAAACTTTCTTTAGGTGGCATATTATTAAAATGTACACAGAGTGAATTAAATAACTTCATATTACAGCTTTAGGACACAACAAAAGGTGGTTTTAGTCAATTTCAAGTCACCTGGTTCTGTATAGAGGTATGAAAGAGTGGAATTCATTGCCGAAAAACATTCAACTCACCACTAACATAAGTCAGTTAAAAACATTAATAAAACAGCATCTATCACAGTAGAGATAATAAACTAAACTAAACCTGTTGAAAAACAGTGTTTTTTCATACCATCATGTACATCGCTGAAAAAACATCCAAATGCAGTCCTAACTGAAACAAATCGTAGCTTATCTGTTATGTTTGACATCAATGTTATGTAAGAAAACAATAAAACCATCCTGTGAGTTTAAAACATGTAACCATGGCTGCTAGCTCATAATAACCATGTCAGCTTGAACGAACCCATTTAGGATTTGCTAAAGCACTTCACAGTACAGATATTAAGTGAACTAAAGCTGCGACTGTTTACAGTAGTTATTCAGACTAAAAGGTGCAAAGTGAACACTTCCAGGGCAGAATATTGAAGTTCAGATACCAACCAGCTAGCTGAACCAGACTCGCGCATGTTTGTTTTCATGTAGCTTTACTACAATAACTGAGCTAACGTTGGCTCATAAATGTCAAGCAAGCTCGAAAACGACCACATACATGCAACTCGCGTAAAATAAATGGTTTACTGAACTTACATACGTGTAAACAGCAAGAAATTCTTACCTCCATCCACTTTTTTGGGATCCATGTTTTCAAATACGAACGGTACCTTTGACCGCCGGAAGTCCTTCGTCTTTGCTTCCTGTTTCACTTGCAGTGCCGCAGCTGTTCTGCGCAGGCGCACGCTGTTGGTACAGTGTTTTTTAAAAAGTGTCTGTGAAGGCTGTTTGCTTCAAAGCAGAGGTTAAATACAGACATTGACCTTTTAAAATATAATTAAGAAATAATTTTACCATTTTTTATTTGAATTGTCAATTTGTTGAAGATTCGTTTAACCTTAAATATCATCTTATCGTCTGTTACCATGGCAATGCAGTTGGTGCACTAATAGCTCATCTTTTTGCATCTTTTCCTGTATTTGCATCTTTTTTATTGCACAAACAGAAATTTGCTGAATCACATCTTAGGTTTTCACATTTTAACCTAGAACTGAACTGTATTAAAATCAGTTTACTAAAAACCAGCAACAACAACAACAAAAGTTAGAAGCTTCTGGAAGGCAACAAAGTTATGTTCCCTGAAACCGACCGAATCCGTTATGTCTGTACACCTATTTTCTCCAATCTCATTTGTAACAGGTATGTCTAATCTGTATGTGCTGCTGATGTTGTACAGCATCTCTGTATTTTGTTATATTTTGTTAATAAGAAAAACACACAAAAAACTGACCTCAAGTGCAGCATTGCTTTATTTCAGCTTCGGTACAGAGTGAATTTGTAGTTATGTACTTAAGCCTGGGTCCTGTTCCAGAAAGATGGTGTTTTAAAAACTCACACTCAGCACCTCTGTGGGTTCGAAACCCTTTGCTAACATGGGATCCATTAGTCCAACAGATATGTTTACAAATCTACTACAAAATCCAGTGTGCAAGGCAAATAAGCAACTCAGGTATCCTGCTTATATTAAATATCATGTAAATGTATCACTCTGCTGTTGTGTGCTGTCCATTGTAGTGTGGTGTCTGGATGTGATCAACTGTGATTGTGTTTTCTGTGTTTTTGTGCTTCTTGTCTGCCTGCAGAGCAAATTTCCCTCAGGGGACAATAAAGTTAAGTCTGAGTGATAAAGGCTGAAAGCCCCCAATAACTCAAACATAAATTATAGCAAGAGCTATCTGCTGGATCAAAAACACAAACCAGACCATGTAAACAAGTAAGCAAAGATAGCAAAGAAAAGGAAGGAGAAACAGCTTTTAAGTGTTTATTTGTTAAGGCAGCCAACTGTGTATAAAAAATAAAGTATAAATGCAGAAAACTTTAGACACAAATGGCACAAACCTACATTTTCACGGCATCACAGCAGACATCACTGGCACTTAAAGTCTATAAAGATATTTTTATGATATTAAATATCACTGTTGATCATATAGGATTTATTAAGCATCTTATACTTTCTATTGTCACAGTTTAAACACATGTAATTTACAATATTTGCAACTGGCACAAAAAATCTTGGCATATTATTTTATCCTAAGGACATAAAATTTATTTAAATGTCAATGTGGCACTTTTTAAAAAAATGTCCTTGAAACACTCAAGTTTCTTCAGCCACCATCCTCTCAATAGCAGCCCAGTCTATTTTGCTGAGGCTGCTGCTTGCGCTCAGGGAGAGATCGTCCAACCAGTCCATCCCTGAAACACCAGCTCTGGCACCATCATCCTGGTCATCCAAAAGCGCCGCCAAAACCTGGGAAACATAGAACAAAGTATGAAGATATAATGTGACAATTATTTAAAATAGTTGCAACAATACTATCTAACATTATTGTTTGCAGCAATAACACAAACTTTAACCAAATTGATGTTTAAATTAATAAACCAAAGTCCTGATTCAAGAGTAATGAATTGAGAGTGACTGAAACATTATTTTACATCTGAAGTGGTTGGATGACACAAAATTCTTGGTGAAAAACTGGCTTCTTACAGTCTTAGAGTCCTCTAGGCGCTGCAGCCTGTTCAATTCTGGACGATCCACCTCTTCTCTCTCTTCAATCCTTGACTGCTCCCTCAGGGTCCCTCTTCCTACAGCTGAAAAGCCTCTGTTCATGAACATCTTTTTCTGGTGTCCAACATGCCGTTCCTCACTCTGGCTGGCTGTGTTCAGTTTAGCGTGGCTCTTTGTGTCAGAGATCATGCCACGCCTGGTCACCTGAGACAGACGGTCCCTTGGCAAAGATGTCACTAAAACCAAAAGTCCCACAACATAAATCAGGTTTGCTAGTTGAAGACAGTCTTTCATGAAAACAATTATCTAAGTACTGTTTTGTTTTGGGTTTTTCTAACAGGTGAGAAATCGATGTAGTTCATTATGAGTAGGACACCTGGTCTATGCAGTCCCAGTCTCCTGCGATGATCCTCCGAAGGCCGCCTCTGCACATCAGCAGACTCTGGGCGAAGATGGAGCAGAGCTTGTCCTGACTGGAGCTTATGACTTCTTTTATCATCAACAGCAGCACTGTTTGTCCTAAAAAAGATATTACCTATGTTACTGTGTACGCTCATCATATTATTTCTTATATACGCGTATATACAGCATCCTGTAACAGTTTTAGGAACTTTAGATGTTAAAATTTTTGTACATGACACAATACCACCAGGGAGGCATCAGATTGGCACGAAAATAATTCTGTAGCATGTCAGTGTCCACAAACATACAACCAGAACAACAGATAATATGGACCCTCCAGAGAATGATGTTAGTTTCTTTAGTTTTTTACTGCTCTTTAAATGAAGTCTTTTTATTGCCATGGACTTTTGCATAATGCAGCAAACCAAGAAACTGAAAAAGGTTCACATGTTTTCTCACCACGATATATGCAGAATGGCTTTGGGTCTGTCAAGACTCTGATTGTTGAACACAACTGAATTGTGTCCAAAATAGCATCCTATAGTAGTCAAATTTCCACCTCATCATCCCAACACCCCCAGTTATAAAAGGAATGCTGATCGACAGGCTGATCTAATAACCAATCTGGAATTATTGATGAATAATTGATGATTAGCTCAAACGCTAGATCTGAGTACAATTATTATTTAATGAGATAAGATCCCGGTCAAGTTACTGTTGCAGAAAATACCTGTGTGTGGGCGGAGCGGAGGTCGACCGTGTGGTGGAGGTCATCGGAGGACCTTCAGTTTGTGGAGAAGTGTTCAGGGTTACAGTAGAGTTGGGAAAATCACTGGCCAAAGAATAAGCCTCACGGGTCCTCTGGTTGAACTGCTCCAGAAGCATGACCCTGTTAAATGGAAATAACAGTTTACACGTGCACGTGCATGTCCTCCGGGTATAAACAATGTAAACAGGTACATACTTCTCTTTTTCCTTTCTGGTTCTCCCAACAGTCGCTTGATTTCTGTTTGCTGATTTCTGTAGGAAGCAGGTGACCAATGTGGATTTAACATTACAAAAACAGCACAACTGGAATATCAATTATAGTAAAAAAGGCAATCATATCTCACCACTGCTGTAGAGTTACAGAAAGGTTTGCGCTCCCTCTCTCTCAGGCTCTCCCTTTGTTTTTGATACACAGCCAGTCTTTCCCTCTGCTTCCTTCTCATCCAGATCCTCAGCTCCCTCCTCTCGTCCTCCGGAAGGACTCGTTTCCGCGACATCCAGCTACTTTGCGGCTGTTCCGGCCTGCTGTAGGTCATATTTCTTTTCAGCCAGGGGATAATCATAACTGTTCCAATGCACTCGGATTTAGTAGGTACCATACCTTTGAGGGTTTGCAGTCTGTGAAGAGGAAAAATCCAAGTCGGTCGGAGATAAATAACCGTCCTTCACTAACTCATCTAAGATTTCTGCTGTATCAGATAGCCCAGTCTGACCCAGATTCTCATCTGCCCACCTAGAGATCGGCAGGTAGAGGGCAGAATATTGTAAAAGTGTGGAAGAGGAAGAAATAAAAGGTAAGAAATCCATACCACAAAAGGTGATACATCAAATGGTTGAAAGACCGCACATCTATTTAAAACTTACACATGAGATACGCCATATGCTTCAACGAACTGATCTTCCATTCCTGTAGGTGAAAGATGAAACAGTGTTTCTGAAATGAAAGAGAAAAACAATCAACATTTCCCAAAGTCTGAGAGAATTTGGTTGGACAGAAACATTAGCAGTAGCAGATAGGAGTGATTCAAATCGAATGCAGTTGTTTGCCTGTTGGTTCATTTCTGTATTTTCATTTGGGAATGTCTAAATAAATTGCATCTTTACTTGGTGGGGTGTGACGGTAGGAAGGACCAGCTTTTGGACTGTGAGGAGAAGTAGAATAATGAAAAGAAGGCTTTCTTTCAGGAACCACATATTCTTCTTCTTCTTCTTCTTCTTGATTTTCCTCTTCATAGGCATTCAGTTCAAATAAAAGCTCAGGATCAGGCTTTGGTGTCCATGCTGTTACAAAGAATATACAACTGATGTTAATTCAGTTTTTAAACAAAGATAAAAGGCCAAAAAATAACTTTATAGAATTAGTACGTATTTTTACAGGTTTTTTGAGGAACTTTTAAAAAACAATGAAATAATTTAAATAGTTTCAGGTCCTACCTTCCTGTGGGACGGACAGTCTGACGGTTTTCTTTGCCTTCACATCAGGAGCCACATCGAGGGTGAGCTTTTCAATAGTGTTCACCAGCTGCACAGAGACGCAGCAGGGAAAACAAATCTATTACATAAACAAGCCACCATGAAGGATATAAGCAAAAACAAACATGCTTATGTACCATCCTGGAGTTTGAGAAGTCATTCTCTAGATGATCTGCGATGTTCTGTAAGGCAGCCAACTGGGCATCCAGCTCTGACAGCCGGGACGAGAACCAGACTGTAGGAGTTGAAGAGGAGGCTCCACGAGGTGCAACACTTTGTTTCTTAATGGCTTGACAGATCTGAGAGTCAGACGGATCGACTATCCCAGTGTCCTGTGGAGCGATTCTTTCTGAAACTCTACTGGGCTCAATGTGGCTCAAGGAAGGAGACTCTTCTGGGATATCTAGGGAATACAAAGATATTTGGGAGATCAGATTAGTACTACAAAGCAGGCATGATTGTATCCAGAACAAAGATATAAAAATGTACAACATTCAATATAAACACATAAAAGACCTGGGTGAGAGATGTGTGTCGTCAGGAGAGCCTCTGGAGCTGGAACTGAGGGTTGCGGATCAGCGGCAGCAGCACCACCCCTTATAACTGATGTCGCAAGAACGTGGAGCTGAGCAGAAGTAGGTGAAGAAGGGCGGATGGAAGGAACATCCTGTGATCCTGCGTCGGTGCACGGCAGCAGATCTTGATGCTGCATCATGTCCTCTAGATCTAAAACACTCAAAAACTGACGGCCACCCAGATTCTGCAAGACAAAGATGACAAAACCAAGAAAAGGAGAATTTCCAATAATTAATATAACTCATTGCTAGAATGTGACAAAAGAAGTATGAGTGTGTGAACAACATGGATTAAAATGTGAATCAGTTGATGATCACTACATGAAAAAGACATACCATAACTGAACCTTGTTGAGATACTCTGTCGCTTAGACAACGCTGTACGATGTACTCAGGGCATTATTCAACTATGTAAACTGATGTATTCATAAACGTTGCCATGGTGATGGCGGTGCGCATAGACGCAGCAGCTACTTTAGGAGACAACGAAAGTGAACGTTTTGAGTGTCTTGTCTATCCCAGACGTTCATTCCGCAAAATTGCTGGTAAAATAATCCTGAAGAAATGCTCTCTCTTATCTTACCTGTACTACTGTGTGTGTACAGCAAAATGACAATAAACCTGATTTGATTTTATTTGATTTGATTTGAAACAGCTCTAGAACACACAAGCAAAATTCAGAGTGGCTAAGAGCTATACTGGTCCATATGCAGCACTGAGTTCACCTTGTACATCTGGACTCTTACCAGAATCTTCTGTGGTTCCTGTGGGGTCTCCTCGCAGTGTTGAACAGGGTTTTCATTGCACATCTGGAAATTTCCTGAACTTTGTGCTATACGGGGGGAAACACACAGTGTCACTCCAATTACATCCACATGAGAAAGCAGTGTGTTGGTCTTGCACCCACAACTTCAAAATAACTTACATTTAGAGTTACTAGCCTGGACGGATACAGCTTTATCAACCAGCATGGGAAGAGATGCTGAAAGAGAAAGAATCAAGTGTAAGATCATGTGCTCAGATTCTATTCTATGCTATTCTTGTAAAACTTGCAATTCAGCCCAATACTAAGTCACCTGGGTCTGTGTTGGTAAAAGCATCATGGCACTCTGGAGGTCGTTTACATGTGGAAGCAAAGGCGTGGAGCTCAGCTGACGTGGACATGACCTTATCCAACAATCTTTGGCCAGTCAGCAAAGGGTCTAAGGATCCTGAGGGTTAAAGAAAATCAGATCAACTGTAAATGAGACATGATAACGGTTCTAATCGTCTCATCAAGAGTTAAACATTTTACTGTGCTACACATGCCAGACTGAGGATCAGTGGCTAAATTGCTCTAAAAAAAAAAAAAGCTCCCACCTGCTCTTTCAGCAAACCTTTTAGGAACCTTTAATTTTATTGCAAGTTCAAAAGAGGCTTTTCATCCTCAATTAATTCTGCTCAACTAATTATATTGAGGATTAAAAGACACTTCAGTCCTTGACATTTCAAATGAAAAGGCATACATTTAGTAGGAGCCCTTTGGCAGTAACACAGGTGCTGTGGCAATCTTCTAAATTCAGTCACTGTAATTTGAAGCTGCTAAATGTGGGTCTTTATGTTCCCTTTCAGATGTAGGGATGTGTGCTGTATGCATTTTTGACATCTGACAAAATACATGTATATCAACTGGTAACATACATGACCTAGATTTTTGATAAAAAAAAACCTTCTGAATATACAATGTATGGATTTATCCGTGTAAAAGGTAGATGTTGTGTAATCACCAGTAATGTCTCGAGTGACCTCTTCAGCAACTGCAGGCTCTTCGCTTACAGGCACATCGACTGGCTAAATAAATATTAGAGCAAACATATGACAGTTGTGTAACAACTTCACATTTGCAAAGGACATAATACTTATTTTTAGACTTCATATTGTTTTACCTCTTGTGGAGGAATGATAGACTCATTTGGCTTGAATGTGACTTCTGGTTTTCTTGCCTTTTCCATTTTCCCTTCTCTCCTCTTCTGCCTATAAACAATACAAAGTGAGCACTGTGAGAAAAAGAATTAGCAATTTAAAAAAAGGAAACCACTGGAATTGAAACTAATATGTGATTGCCTCTTGCTGGAGTTAGAGTTGGAAGAAGTGGTCGCCCTTCTAGTGCTTTCAGCGGCTCCATCGACTCTAAGCAGCTGCAGCTGAGCCTCTTCTGCATTCTGCCTCCCCATCGCTGAAGTCAACTCTTCCACAGACATGAGACGGGTTGTTTGGGTTGAGGGAGCAGCCAGGGGCAGCATCTGTGAGACAGACAGATATCTCTAAGCAGGTATAAACCAAGATGATTTAAAATGTTAAAATGTTGAGGTAGAGGACGTACTGCTTACCATTTTTGGCCCAGATTCAATATGTAGAAGCTTGATCACAGGTGCTTCTCTCAGTGGAGCTGTAAAGACAGTAGACGGTCTGGAAGAAGATGGCAAAGGTAGTTTTGGGAAGCTGATGTTGTTGCGTGAAACAGGCTCAAAGTGCAGCAGACGAAGACTCTGCATCGGTGCCGGTGTGTGAGCTGGAAAAGAAGAAGGAAGCAGCGAGAACTCTTGACCTCTGGACTGTTCTGATGGCCAGATGTGAGGTTGAGAGTTTCTGCGAGCTGGTTCATGTGGAGGATTAAAACTCAGCTGTCTCTTTGGAACTGAAAATCCATTTCTTTTTTCTTCACCTGCCCTCTTTGAGGCAGCTTGGTGGTTGTGTTTAAGGTTCTGCTGACTGTCCTCTACAGTTGCAGGGTTTGCAGCGTGCAGCGCCTGTGGTCGCTGGGCAGGTGGATGATGTGACAGAGGAGGACGGTGGAGTTGAAGTAACTTCATGCCCAAAATTTGGGGATTGGAGTCATTTTGTATGCTGCCATTAGCAGGCACAAATGCAGGAGGACTGTGAATAGCTTGACTGGTGTCAGTAGTGGCCAGGAGTCCCTGGGAGGAGGGGATTAACCTCCTGCTCTCCCTCAGCTGGATTTCTGGTGACTCTGCCTGGACGGAGATTGGCTGCATTTCCTGCGGAAAAGAGAACACACATTCAGCCTGCTTTCACTGTGATCTAAGGATTTATTTATACAGAAAGACAATTACTCACATTTGAGGAGAGCATTTTTCAAATACCTGATAGTTGACTGCTGCACCACTGGCATTGGAGGGGAGACTCGTGTTGTTGTGATACTGGTTGCCTGCTGAAGAGGATTTTGCTGAGCTTTGCATAGCAGGCTGAGCTGCAAACATACATGCAGGGGTCTGACTGAGCTGAGAGTTGTTGGATGCTGAATTTGGCACAGATGCTTCAACTTGAGGTGCCGCAGAGCTGGGAGTTTGAATGGGCAAGGCATTTGGTTGAGGGATGAACCTGGTATTGAAAGACGATGGCACATTAGGGTGTGAGGAGTTCATGTCAGCCTGGGCCATCGAAAAGCTCTGTTGGGCGAGTTGTAGGTTGGAAAATGAAGCTCCCAAAACTTCCATCAGACTCATGTAGTTGATATTCTGCAATGAAGAACAAATGCAGGTAAGAGTCAGTGTACTATTTCAAAACCTTTACTTTTGGTCAGTGTGTTCTTACCTGAACCAATCTGAACAAGTCTTCACCCAGACGGTGTCTCATTGCTGGAGTCTGGGCGGTCGATGGCTGACTGGCGGTTGTAGAATCCACAGCGGGTGCATCAGCCGTGGAGCTTTGTGCCTGAGGGGCTGGAGGATCTACAGCAGGGTTGGGGACCAGCGCGGGAGCCGAATCAGAAAGTTCTGCATGAACTGTAGCCTTAGGCTGGATGGTGGGAGGAGCAGGGGGCTCTGGGTCTGGAGGACTACGTAGGCTTCCAGCATAACTGTGGCTTAAACAAAAACAGACAAGTTCAGCATCCAGTTTCTGCAACAATTATCATATGTTTTTGGGTTTGCTTTTACCACCAAAATGTGGAAATAACTCAGCAGGTTTTATGTTTTATATTTCTAACTTATGGGTTGGTGTTAAAGAATGAAAGTTAACTACAACTATAGTTAAAATCTTACATTATAAGACATAAAATATTAAAGAATTATGCAATAATTGACAAGCTTCTGCTATAATTTCAACAATAATGTGTTACATCAATAGCGCTCCCTCAGGAAAAACATTTACACCTTCATATACATAAGTACTTATTTACAATCCAAAGCTTACATAGAGGTGGAACTGGACATGTCTTCAGCTTTTTCTGAGTTGTCTAGGTCTGCAAGCTTTAAACTCTGGAGATGAAAAACAACAATTATTTGTGTCTCTTGACAACCTCAACAATACATACGAAGGCCAGAAATATTAAGTGGTAACATTAACCGTTTCCGGTGTGCAGATGTTTCCAAAGATGCTCCCTTTGGAACCAGAAGACGACACATCCAAGACCTCACTGTCGCTGCATTTGCCTGCAAATATCAGATGCATGAATTAATGTTCTATGAAACAAGGTTCTGTATGGCAGCAACTTTGATGACCGTTATAATTTAGTATCACACCTTCTTTTTCAGGCGTAACATCCAAGTCATCCAGAGGTGCTTGTTGTGAACTGGATTGTCTCTGCTGAGAATCCAAGGTCAGCTGAGAGAGTTGCTGGTCAGTAGGGAGAGGCGTCCTGTTGAATGTCAACTCTTCTGGTTCATCTGTGCACGAACCACTGCATGGAAACAAATCACGTATAAATTCAGGAGATTATTGCATACAGAGTACAATTACAAAAGAGAATGCAGCAAATACAAATTCAGCAGAGGCATGCATTCATGTTTTTACTGCCCATGTACTATCACCATCTATCTAGTTGCTGTGATAATGGCTGAAATACAAATGTTCTGTTTCTTAAGCAAAGATTTAACAATCTCTGATAACCCATACAAGCACTGTCCACACAAAATCCAGTTCTATATACTGAACAAGACTTATCTCTTGAAGTCCAGATTCCATTTGCCCACCTACATTCTGAAACGTATTGCATGCTTGACTGGCTCAATAAAAACCTCCTCTGTGTGTATGTGTTTACAGCTCATGGGCCACTCACATGGATAGTTCTTCTTGCTGTTGATTGTGATCGAAACCAGTGATGGGAGTGTTGGCTGATGCAGGGTAGCCTGTATCCACACTGCTCTCTCTCTCCAGTTTCCTGTCCACCTCAGGCTGCAGCACAGGGGCTATGGTCAGTTGCATTTCTGGAACTTGGATGTGGGCACTGTAGCAGTCAGTCCCGAGTAAAGCAGTGTACTTGTACTCCAGCAAACTGAGGGAAGTGAGGATGGCAGGTGCTGAGGCTTTGACACGAATCACGACCCCTTCATCAGCTGCTCCCCCAACTCCTCCTCCTTTATCTTTCTTCTTTTTACCATGGTGTCCCAATAGAACCCTTCTGTCCGCCCAGCGTACCATCCACTCCAGCAGCCTGCCCAGCTTTGGATACTGAGCCTCTAATTTAGGATCCAGGCCCTGCTGTAATTCAGGCAGAGCTTCTACAGACATTGAGGAGCCAAATATGAAGCTCTCTGATGGCTTCCCGGTGTTAAAGGCACTTTGAATAGGACTGGTTCCAGAACCAAAAGCCTCTACTTTTTGGTCTGAAGGCGCACTGCTTTGCTGTCGGAGGCCAAACAAACCATTTTTCCTCCCAGTTCTCCATCCAGGATGAGAGCTGACAGAAAGGCTGGTCCTGGATAGCGGAGTTTCACTCCAGACGGAGGAAGTTTGCCGCTCAGGAGATGCAGCTTCTTTTGAAGGCTTGTAGCAAGAGCCAGCTCTGAACACTGGAGGGTCATTGCCCACATGTTTTCTCGCGGGATGGCGCCCATCTCGTTGACGGCGTTGCATCGTGGTGAGCACGTCAAAGGCGAGAGAATGCAACTCTCTCTCCCTCAGCTCAGAGCAGAAGCCCTTCAGCAAAGGAAGTTCGCTGACTGAGTCCCCTCCACCAGTGCTGTCCTTCTCGAGCACATAGCTGAGGAAGAGCTCCAGGAAATTCAGATACTCCTCATCCTCCAGCTCAAACTCCCAGGTGCCAACCACTGGCGGTGAGGGCTGCTCCTTCTTCTTGTCATCGCCTCGGTGACCTTCCTCTTTAATGACACTTTCGATCTTAACAGCTGTCTTCTTTGCATGGCCTTTGTGTTTTAATTTTTTAGCACTTTTGCGGCTGAAAAGAACAACACAAACTGGAAAATAAGCCACAACACAGACACATGAGACCACATTGAGGGCAATGCTGACATTTCATGCTGGCTACCTGGTCGTGGCTCTGCAGTGCTGCTCAGGTGAGATGGCCTCAGATGTATTCTCCGCTGTGTCTCCGTCACTGCACACTGGAGGGAAGCCGTATTCAGTTAAGGTGCTGGTGCTCAAGCTCGTACCCAGTGACAGTTGTCTCAACATGGCCATCCCATGTTTGCTTCCCCTGTCCTCCTCTTCCTCTTCTTTCTCCCACAGATGAAGCACAGGGGGGCCCAAGTGCCTCCGCAAGCGTGCTAGATGTTTTCTCCTTTGCCTGAATTTGTCTTGAATCACAATCATCATCAACTCGTTCTCATCCTCTTTGTCCCCTTCTAGACAACAGACAGAATAATGCAGAGTGACTATCAAATTAGCCTGCAGTGATAACATGTAACGAGGTCTAGTTAAGGAAAAAGAACTCATGTTACGACCTGGCAGAAGGATTTTTGGGAGTCATTACAACTTTCAGAAATAATAAAATGCCTACAGTTTTCATTACATTATCTACAGAATTTTACAGTTTTAGCAATAATAAAACATAGTCATCACATGAGTACAAAAGAATCCTGTACTGCATTTCAAAGCAACTTGATAATGAACAGAAGTGTTTTTTACCGAGCACACTGCATAGCCTCAGTCTCTGCAGTAGTGAATTGTACTTTTCTCTCAAAGGGACTCTGACAGACTCCTCGTCCTCAGGGAAGGCTCGTACCAATGTGTCTGCAACCTAAGAAGAAGAACAGCCAAGGATAAAAAATTTACTCACTCAAAGTCAGCTTGTTTTACCTTAAATGTGTAATTAGGGGAGGAAATGTCACCAGAGACACCGGCGGCAGTTGGGACACGAGGCTGAGCAGCACGTCCTGAAGGATTTCCTCGGCATTGAGGAAGCGACAAAATGGCAGAAAACGACAGGCCCAGCGGAGAGCGTCGACACAGGCAGACTTCACTTCTGCATCACCGGACATCTAAGTGATAAAAATACACATTAAAAAAATTTGCAGTGCATCCGTGGCTGAGGAGAATTATACATTAACATGTCACATTCTTAAACAAAAATATAGTACCTGTTCATCTCCACCGTGCTGTCTGGCTGCCTGATATCTCCTGCAGCAAATGGAGAGCTGGTCCCTGACGTGAAGCATCCAGCATAAAGCACACAGCTCCCTGAAGCAGACTTATATAGAAACATATTAAATAAATATAATCTGAAATTAGATAGTTGATTAAGACGTTGACAACGCACTACGAGTGGAATCTTACTAATAGTCTGAATGGTGTCAGGGTCCAGGTGACCGTCTTTATTAGGCCCCCGTCTGAAGAATCCATGACGAGTCATAAACCTCATCAGTCCCTCAGGGAACGCCTTTTCCTCTTCAACAGCTGATGGATAGCAATACTTCTTCTTGAGCTGAAAACACAGCAGATATTTGCACTGTTTAAGACAACATGGTAAAATGTAATCAACATCTTCACTGTCAGGAGGTTACAGGCATATTTGTAGTCTATCCTGCAGGACACGACCAACCGATCTGTCTGTTTTTATTCTAATTTCCTATTTGCATGATGAACCAATGAAGATGTAAGCAAGAAAAGCAAAGAAACAATCTGTTGTTCTAAGAGGACTGTAGATTTAAACATATCCTTTGTTTATTAAGACTGAAATTTTTAGCTCTGTTAGCAACATTTAAAGGCTTTTAAGCCTCTCATTAAATCAAATAAAAAACTCTTAAACCATGTAAGGAAATACCTTATATAGCAGGTGTCTGGCACGGCGCAGGTGGCCGACGTACCACTGGGCAGCAGGATAGCAACAATGACCAGATCTCAGGAGTAAGAGCAATCTCTGGAGAACCCCAGACACTTTGTGTCGGCACGCAACTTCTGAAAACTGCATCAATGTCCCGATTTGGTCCTAACCAGAGACGCAGAAAACATTTAATTACAGAGTTCACACATAAGTGCACTATTCTCCTGTGTCTGACAGTTGATCTTCTATTACTGTACCTGTGTGTTGGGTGAAGGCTGCGGGCAATAGAGTGGTGGGGAAGGCAGGTACAGTCCAGTAGGCACCAAAGCAGGCAGGGAAGAACACAGGTCTTTGGCTGTTTCCATCAAGGAAGACAATGGGGAGGACATAACATTCACTCTCGCCATGACTGATGCCTTCAGAATCTCCTGTATGGAAACCTGTAACAAATCAAAGTCTTCTCCTTCCAAAGGATCTAGAAAGAGGAGTAGAAACAACACCCAGATAAACATTTAAGGCTTCTATGTACATTAGAATCACCCTGAAGTTCTCAGGTCTCACTAACCTGTAAAGCTCTTGTCACCATCTTTATCTGAGCACTCTTTGGAGTCAGCCTTGTTATCAAGAAGACACTCCAGTTCAGCCTGAAAAATGCTTTCTGGCTCTAAGGTTGTTGGCAGGTGGAGTTCTCTCCTCCTGAGCCTGTCAAAAAAGATGTCATGATTATAAAGTCGGTTAAAGTCTGAAACTGAATTTAAGGCATTCTAGTTGTTCTACTTGTCGATTCTATGTTTTCAAACTGACCGAGTGAAGTCTAGATGGTCAGTGCAGTAGCTGGTATAGGCCAGGCTCAGAGACACGGCTGTCTTCCAGTCCCCCAGGTGATAAGCCAACCACACCGTCTCAGGAAGCAGACCTCCTATCAGGAGCAGGTCCTGGGCATAGTCCACCGTCCACACTTCTGACAGATGCTGCTGTCGAACTGCTTTAGCCACCTCTTCCTGGCACAGCGGCATCAAACGCCCAACACTGGGAGCTGAGAGAAGAAAAATTACCAAACAGCAGACTTCAAGAAGAAACCATCAGCTGACAAATATGTTTTGGAAACACACCATGAGGTAGATGTAACGGAGGCAGCGGGGCCACATTGTGAGGAGGCAGGATGTAGAGCGGTTGGTTGGTGAAGTAAGAGGCCATGAATCTGCCCAGGGTCTGAACCACTGCACAGGCTGCATCGCTGTGGAGGTCCATCGGCAGCCATAAGCAAGGAAGAGAATCCGCTGCAGGGCACACAGACAGGCGTGATAAATAACATGTCTTCAGTTCACAGTGACATAGACTTGTTGTGTAATTAAGCCAGATTTATGGTCGGTCCAAACTGAACGTCACATGGTCGAGTAGCGTTGGAGCACCGACTGACCTCTGCCTTTCTGATAATTACAAACCATCAATTCCACATTTACTCTCTTCACGCCATGACTGGCTACATATGTGGAGGTAGAAGAGGAGCGGGGAAATGTATTTCTCTTCATATCTCTCTTTCATTTGTGACATTTTTCATCCGTACAACCCAATGCCACGCTATTAATGTCTCGATAGAAAGACCAGCTGAAAATGTGTGCCTTCATCCCGTCTCCCTCCCTCAACCTTTTTATGGCAGCTGGCCTTTCACTGGAAATTACTATTCAACACATTTGACTGCCAACACGGTCGGAAAGCGCGTCTTAAATTCTGGAACAATATAAAGCAGCTGTTACTCTATCAGAATGGAATAAAGACAGACCTACAGTATATGCATGGTTGACATATTTTTTTTATGCTGCATAGTTCCAGGCATGAGATCATTTCTGGTGTAATACTGTTGATCACAATGGAGCAAAATTCTAATTTATAGCACCTGAAAGGATTAATTCCTTGCTGACTGATTAGTGCCAGAAGGATTAGCACCTCCCCCATATACCACATGTATAATGCAAAATGTAAATTAAAATGGAATGGGAATACATTAAATGCATCAAGATCAAGAAGAGACACCGTTAGCCAAAAACTCCAAAGACCTCCCATCTTATGCAGTCAACAAAACAACTCAACCTGTACCTAATATACTGGCTTGTGAGAAGTGAACTCTGCCTTATAAAGATATTTCTGAACTAAACATAAGACATTCAAACACACGGTACAGTGTTTTCTCAGTACTCCATCATGTGTTTGTATTACTCTGACAGGAATGCATGATATTGTGTTGGGGGTTTTTTTAAACTCATTTTTGGCCAATTGCCAGTACTACTTTTTTTTCACTTACTTCCAGACAACATCAAGTCTCTCCTTTAGTAGAATTAATAAATTCTTAGGCCTATCTCACCGTGATAACCCACTGGCAGGTGCAGACAGAAAATATACTGCTTTTCAGATATACACATTCACATTCAGCAAAATAATGAAACTACTTATACCAGATTAGTTTTGTGCAATATTTTCAGATGAAACAGTAAACATTAAGCTTGACAGGTGCTATCTGCTTGACAGTGTTCATTCTGGGTTGATGCCAGAGTTTCATTTTAAATCCTTTATCATCTGATACCGATAGCACTGTGCATCCCTTTTCTCTGATGTTATTAACCGTAAAAGATCTATTTACAACTTGATTTCATAAACTAATTCAAACTCCAACACTGAGGAATTATTGACAAAGGCTAACCTGTCGTATTGTCCTTCTGGAGTCCAGCCCTGTGCAGTATTAGCTGGGCCATGTGGTCCCCCAATTCCTGGGCTTCTCTTAGACGGTACTGTGATAACAGACTATACAGGAGTGCCAGACAAAGCCGAGTCTCCTGGAAGACACTACGATCACAGCCTGATGGAAAGACATATGAAAATTATGAATAAATGTCATAAATGTCAGACTGAACTTGATTATATTTAACATATTATTGTACTTTCATGTAAAACTGAAGCCATCATACTTACTTTTGTTAATTTCTTCACAAAGTTGTAACCGCCATGTATCTGCACTTTTCGGGTACGAGCCACACAGGAAAAGATGTTCACCTGAGTAAACCAGACGTACATTTCAAGCTAAACAACAACAATTATCTACTCATATTCACACACAATTAGCTTATCCTGCCATTTGAACCACAGTGAAATTACTCTGCAGCAACTCTTTGTTTAAAACTAATCATGATATGAGCATCCAAGATGAAAAATGGAGAGGGTGAGCTAAAATACCTAAAGAGATATCAATTCTACCCCCACAGTTCATTTTTTCCATCTCCCTTTACGCATAAAACTAAACAAAGTCACTGTTTCATTTCGTTCCTATAGCTTGCACCAGAAGCGCAGTAACATAAGTAATTCTTTATTGTCAGACCTGGGTAACTCAGCAGTGCAGGACCCTCCTCTAGCCTTTCTCCTGCAGCCTGCAGAGCTGTCTGGATCTGCGACATGATGACAGACAACTGTTGTTCTTCCTCCTCCCAGCCATCACAGCCTTTAAAACTTTTTAGTTCTTCCATATACTTCTGGGTGATATTGTACAGCAGCTGCCAAACTCCCAACAATCTGGCCGAACAAAGAAAAGCACCACTCCTGTTAGCCTTGTATCAAAATGATCCGTGACATGAGATTCAGTGGCTAAGGTTAACATCTGCTGAAACAGCCTTTTGTGCAAAATAACTGATGTACAAAATGGGAAAAGAGACTGTCCCTACCTGCTGGATGGTCTCTGGGGAACAGGACTAGCCTGTTGCACAAAACTGGATTTCTCTTCCTTTTCATCCTGCAGCAGAGGCACATAGTACACATCAGAAGGCAAGAGCTGAGGTGGCTGGGAAGGATTTTCTTTCTCTGCAGAGGACCAGACAGTCCTGAGCTGCAAGCTGTAAGTGTGGTCAAGAGAATCAGACACCAGCTGCAAGACGAACATGACTCTGGATAGACTTTGAGATGATAGGTGACAGTCACTGGTCTGGTAGGAGTCAGGGTGAGGGGTCAGCAGGAGGCGTACTATCCGTTTACTGAACTCCACCATCAGCCCCAAGCAGCGTGGCCCTTCTGAGGGAGTGCTATCCCAGGGGAGGAATGACAGAAGGGCTTTGATGAGGTGCAGGAGGCTCTTTTCTCCAGTCTGGACCGCCGAGCTGGGCATCAAATGAAGTAAAGCAGCAAATCGCACCACGCAGCGGAGCGTATGCTTCAGCAGACGAGCTCTGTGCTCCACAGCATTTCCTAGAGACAGGCCAAAAGCCCAGGCCGTTAGCAGCCTACTCTGGATCTTTCCAAGTCTACGGTGAAGAGGAGTCTTCCTGTCTGTTTCAACAAAGTCTCTTTCATAATCTGGGCTTGGGTCAGTGTGTGTGTCCAGGGCATGGAGTGTATCAAACATTGAGGCAAACTCCAAACGACCACCATCCTCTGCATGAGAGCCAGCAGGAAGTCCGTCTACATCGGAGTCTTCCTCAAAGAAAGCCTAGGAAACCAGACACATAAACAAAAGATTAAAATCACCTTCACGACTGAATCAAGCAGCTGATACAGCAGTTGTGACACTTTATAGCTTAGTGTCTTGCCATTATTTTCACATTAAATCTAAAACTATAATTTACTATCTAATGCTATTTCACAGACCTGTACGCTTTCAAGAAGCTCCCTGGTGCCACCTAATGTCTGCTGGTCCAACAGGAAAGGAGGCAAAGTGGATCCATCTGCTGAAATGACCGAGTCTGTGGTGTTGGGCCCACGCATAACAGTTGATTTGAACTCTTCCAGGCTGCTGTCCAGATTCAAGCAAGACACTGACTCCAGCCATGCCTTCACATGCGTCTGAAAATAACAAATGTGAAAAAACTGTATTGTTAGGAATAGTCCTCCAAAAAGAACATACTGAGACCAACGCTCAGGAAGAGCTCTGCTCCTACTTCTAGAAGTCCCTGCTTGATCACCTGTGATTTATCCAGTATCCGGCTGGCCTTCTCCAGATCCTTGCTCGTGTCCTTTAGAAGCGTTTTCAGCAACAGGGCAGGAGAACAGGACCTGTCTTGCACCCTCATAACCGTGGCCATGTAGCCATCAGACACAATGAAATACATCAGTCGTGGATGCCAAGTCACAGAGTACCGCTGCCTCAGGACGTCCCGCACAGACATGCTAGAGCTGGAGAGAGAGGCCTCCGCTTTGCCTGCAGACACTGGCGGCCTATTGTTGGTGCAAAAACAGAAATTCTTTTGTCAGTGAGAGTAAAAAAAGATGGAATGGAACATGACACATTTCACACTGGAGCTTATGAGAATGCAAATGTGTTCCCAAATAAGTGAAAAACTTCTAATATGCAGAAAAGCTTTCATTTAAAGTGTACCGGTATGTGACCAGAGGGTGTAGCGGTAGGAAGTTTGCAGGCCCAAAGTCAACGTTACAGCCAGAGCTCGTTAGAGTGAGAAGCTCCCCAAGGCGAGCCAACATAAGAAGGGAGCCTCTCTTCAGAACACAGGCCAAGAAAAGGCCTCCGGGTGACCAGCTGACACTGCCCACCCAGTAGGACCTGAAAGAGAGGATATGTAAAGACACTTCATAAACAAAGGCATTCTCCCCAACAGCTTGAGATGATGTAACACAACCAAGGACACTCATATTCACACCTACGGACAATTTTAGAATCACCAATTAATCACAACATGTTTTTGGACTGTGTGGGAGGAAGCCGGAGAACCCGGAGAGAACCCACGCTGCACGGGGAGAACATGCAAACTCCATGCAGAAAGATCCCAGGTGTCCTCAACGGGACGCGAACCAGGGACCTTCTAGCTGCGAGGCAACGGTGCTAAACACCGAGTCACCTTGCAGCCCGTGTCATCATTCAGTGCTTTGTACTTCTTATATATTTCATGTAGCGACAATTTAATCACTGATCTTTGCCTCATTGAAACAGATGACAAGCTATACTTTCTGACTGCTGCACTTCATAAATCATACACACTGACCTTATATATTTTGCAGGGATCTCCATTTTTTTGCTTCCACATCCTCCAAGGCCACTTGATATTGACACAAAATTCTGTGTGCTCACGAAGAGGACCTGCGTAGCCTGCATTACAAAACAAGAAACACACATTCTGATTCACGTTTCTGAACTTATTTTGGTGTTTAAAAAAAAAAAAAAGAAGAAAAAACAGAGAGGTCAGACGCTCACCTTTGGCTGCCTCTGGTTCAGGACGACGGCTAACAGTCGGCCGTCTGGGGAGATGGCTGGCACCAAGGCGCCTCTGGACTTCACTGGTTGGCAGGGTGGGGTGAGACGAGACATGGGGTACGTCTTGGTGGCCCACTGTATGCTGTATCCCACAGAACTGCAAAAAAACGTGTAATTTTAGCTGCAATAATGACCAGGGAGTCCTGACTGTTACGTAGACCTGCTCACTCACCCCACTGTCACATGGCACTCTTTCCACTGGATTTTAAGGCAGGTGATGATAAGCTTCTTCCCAGACATGAAAACAAAGGCTGACACGCAGGTATCACCCATAACCTGAGAGAATTTGGAGAAAGACAAAATAAGATATAAGGCTTATAATAAATAAGAACAAATTAGTAGGTTTGTAAAGCTGTCCAGCTGACCTCTGTCTTAACAAAGATGGTGTGCTGGGATGCTTCTTTGTCTTGTGAAGAAGGTAAAATGGTATCTTCAAGGGGCTGTATATACGCCCAGTGTCCCTTAACTGGGCCATCTCGCAGTCCTGTTAAATCTCTCGCATCCAGACACTCCCATAGGAACACTTGCCCAGTTATGGCTACCAGGACAACACGCATCCCGTCCCATGAAACCTGGAGAGACAACTTTGTGGAACCTCCTGTGAAAATACACAGACAATGATTTGATAATATTTCATGCACAGACCACATCGCCCCACAAACACCCACCCACAATCTGCAGCCATTATTAAATCCAGGACAAAGAAGTACCTTTACATCAACATTGCATCCTTTCACATTTTACAAGCAGATACATATTGAGTTCTTAGAATTTATATATCTATACATGTTACTGTCCACACAAGTCATCAAAAACTATGCAAACTGATCACAAATTAAACCAGCCAGCTTGTCAGCCCCCTAGTTAACCATGTCTCTCTCTATATGATACATACCTTGAGCAGAAGTAATAATCTGAACAACTTCTGGGACAGCTGCAGCGGTTTTCAACAAATCTTTATCCCTGTTCCACAGAAACAGTTCTCCTGAGACCAAAAGTCCGCAAAGCCACATCCCTGAAAACAATCAGAATCAGCTTCATTGGCCAAATGTGCACACATACAAGGAATTTGACTGTTTTTTTCTTTGCTTTCAAATTACTTACATAAAAACACATGTACATTTAAACAAGGGCAGCAGGATAAAGAAGTGTTTAACTACTACACATATGTGCAAACAAGCATATTTAAAGAAAATTCAGTAGATTCTGGTGATAGGAATATACACACAGTTATTAATAAAACAGGATTATTGACACTTTATATACCTGAAGTAGGTGGACAACAGTGCAATAGAGCAACATGAATGTTGCTGGCATGAAATATTAATAGCAATATACAGTATGTACGGTGGTTCAGGGTTAACAATTTTTTTAAAAGAGTTGTTCTTGTCACTGATTTAGTTGTACCTTAGAGTGAAAGTCTGTACAAAGAAACTGTTTGTGTGTCTGGTTGTTTTGGCATTCAGTGGTGCATAGAAACAAGGGATCAAGCAACATATGCTCAAATTGGCAATGCTGATTTGTTTTGGGTTTCCACATTAACTCACCATTGTGGGATGAGGCCATTGTCACCACGCTGTTGAGCAAAGGATGCAGTTTAGGTGTTCTCTTCTTGGTGCGACCAGACACCATGTTGATCTCACTGATCCGTTTGTCATCTAACAGGAACACCGACTCCTTCTCCTGGGAAGGACCGACACAGATTTACATTCAGTTTAACTGTGTTATTGACATCAAACGTTTAGTGTCACCAGTTTTCTCTTTCCTATGAATCATCTGCTCACCTGGCCAAGCCAGCAGAATCGCGGCCATGGTTTCTTCCGTTTGATGCTGGATGACAAAACAACCTCCAACTTCAGCTCCATGTTTAAACGGCAGCATCAGTTCTTCCTGGTGGTTATGCATTCAGGAGGGGTTCGACGACACTAAAAGGACCCAGCAGGACTTTATAAATCTGAAGGCTGGCTAGCAAGCAGCACGGTTATTAGCTGCAATGAAAACATTCTGATTTGCTGCATAGCTAGGGACACATACCATCCTTAAACATGCTGTAAAATCATTCTACACTTACGACAATAACTGACACGAGCTGACATTGTTAATGTGCCGTGTTGTTAGATGAACACATCCATCCTCTGAACCGTTAACGCGCAGTTACCTAGCGTTAGCCTCCGAGCTAATTTGGCTCAATACGGGGAGAGTTCGTCCGTTAAAAAGGCCTCACCTGAGTATTTCAGCTGCTTAGTCTGCACCAGCAGGTAATGTTCGCGTCAAATGTTTGCGAGAATGTCAATATAACTGCGGCTTTTGGGTGTTATATGGTAGATAATCCTGAAATGTTTCGAAACTCCCTCCGCTTCAGTAGCCAGCATTGTTTCCCATGATCCTCCGGGAGGAAGCTTCAGCGCGTTGCCGTAGGAACGAATCCGACGTCCTGTGGAGAGAAGAGGAAGTTCTGGAGCGGGTAAATAAAATAGCTAATAGGTTGTCTGTCAAAGAGAAACTTCCCCCATAATTATATCAAGAAATTTACGTTAAAAAAAAATCTGAAAGTTTATGTTTAAACATGTAAATTAGCAATTATGTCCCATCTAAAAATGGCCTAAATTTACGTGTATATCCACAACACAAATTCAAACACTGGATAAAATTTCCTAATTTTATTTTATTATGTTTAAAATTATTTTGGCTAATATATTAGATTAAAATAATTTTGCCAAGATGATTTGGGGTATTTTTAATTTATTAAAAATAATAACAATAATAATCATAATCATAAAAAATCCATCCACTTTCGGAACAAGACATTATATAAGTCATGTCTATGGCTGAAGTATGAACAGTCCTGTCTGTAAAAGTCTTCAGAATGTAAATGGGAATGAGACTAGAAAGATGAGATATTAATGATGCTAAAGTGGAGATTTCTGGGTCAGAAAAAAACACATCTTGAGAAAACAGCCTTTAAAGATTTCATTTTTTTTAAAAAAAATAGAAACTTCTATTTACTTATTTATCTTTATTTCATTTACTTTTATTTCACCAGGAAGTCCCACTGAGATGAGAAATCTCTTTTACAAGGGAGACCTGGCAACGGTAGCAGCCATACAAAAGCTTTATTTTATTTTAGAATAATTTAATACTACCACGAAACTTCCCCATTTTATGTTTAAATATGAGTTATTTTCTCAAACATCCATTGGACAAACTGTAGTAAATTGTACACATACAGTTAATGTTTATATTGGACGCTCTCTTTCCATACAATAGAAGCAAAATATTCCAAAATTACTTTTTAAGAGTACTTTTTCCCACCAAATTGATCAATGAAGTACTATCTATCTATCTATCTATCTATCTATCTATCTATCTATCTATCTATCTATCTATCTATCTATCTATCTATCTATCTATCTATNAATCTCAAAAGCTGATCAGTGCATGAAAAGACTTTTAAAAATGATCTTTCAAGATTATAAATATACGGCGAATGTTCCTCTGTTTAGTTTGCTGCTTTAATTTCATGCACCAAACCTAGCCCAATCTTAACAGTTTAGTTTGCAGGACTTTCTGTCTCAAATAAAAGTATAATTTTCTAACTAAGAAGTTCATAGACAGACTAAAAGCCATTTTACTTTAACAAACGTTTCATCATATTGCAAAGGTTCCCTTAAAATTCTAATATCTGCTGTATCACTACTGTCTATGAAAGCGTTTTTTCCCTTTTTATTTCCATCCATGTACGCCCTGCCTGTATCCTCACAATTTCAGGGAAGAGGCCACGAACAGAAAAACTAGGATGTGGCACACAAACACAGCAAAAAGTGAACTACCTAATGGACTATTTGAGTTCTCCATGTTGTTGCACGCTCAGGCTGCACATTCAAACAAATCAAACTAACACTCAGGACGATCGTTGCACAGTCTGGTCCATCCACTTTCAGCAGCTCCTTTATGTGTAATCTCTGTAGTCTGCGCTCACTAACAACACTCGGTAGAGACAATAATCACAGTCAATTAGTATTTATTGTTGCATTTACATACGCTGCAGAATCCTGTTGTGCAAGCATGCTTCTTCCAGCAGATGGCAACATGCTACAACGCGGCTTAGTACCCGGCATGGTGAAGTGTTTTTGATTTCATGTGAAAAGCCAGTTCTGACTAGAGCAGACGAGATCACTGTGGCAGATAAACAGCAGCAGAAGAGGCTTTTTGTCTCCACTTTGTCTTCTTAGCTATTCCAGACATCTCTCCGCAAGGTCAGTTTCCTCCGAGGATCTTGCAGGGCCTATTAACTGCCTGAATGTTAGTGTGCAGTAAGTGATCGTCTTCACTATTAACATGCTTTGGGTTGTGCGAACCCTTAAGCAATAAAGTCTCTTATTGGCTTGTTACAGAGAGTTATTAGGTTTGCCCCCCCGGCCCCTGCTGGTATTTAATTACCCTCGCTCTCTCTCCTTTTCATCATGATGGAGATGACGGCTGCCATTGCCAATAGGTGCAAGGAGGAGACTTCGCCGGACCTTAATTGGTTCATTTGCCTCTGCCTGCCAGACGCAGATGGAGCTCTTTGTTAGTGTCAGTGCCAGGTTCATTCTGCTCCGACGAGAAGCGCCTTAAGAGGGACAGCTTGACATCCGTGCAGACGCGATGACACGGCCAAAACAGAATCAGAATGAGAGATCAAGAAACCAACTGTTACTGCCATTTGCAGCCTTCGATTGTAAGAGCTTGTCCTGTTTTTGTCTCACTCGGTTGTTTCATTAGACGATCATATTACTATTGTTGTAAGTCCAAAATATAGCTTTCTATAAGGCTGCAGTTGCATCTCTTGAGGCATCTTTGCACAGTAGTTGGGGTGTATTTGCATTATGTATGTCTGCGTGTGCTCGTTTACAAATGTGAATCTAGTTCCTCTCACTAATTATCAGCCTACTGTCTGGATATTTAGCTCCACCCTTGCCTAATCTAGACACCAGTGAGTGTAAGTGGTCATAGAATACTCAAATGTGGCAAAACTAAAGACTATACAGCAAAGTGAAGTCCTCTAAATACTCAATAAATGCTTTAATTTGATTAAATAAAAGCTTTTTGGTTCAGATTTGCTCTGATATGCACCATCAGCCAGGAGATAAAAACAGAAAATCAAAAAAAAATTAGCTTAAAATACAATTAGCTCAATGTAAATGGTAATAGTTGACTTTTCTTTAAAATATACAGCATATCCACACAAGTCTTGTCTCAACTGAGTAACACACAGGCATGTAGCTGAACCCCTCTACACACCAGATCATAGAAAAATAGCTGAAGTATGGAGTAATGAACTTGCGCTCTGTAATTACTATTTATCTGAATGCTGCTGCTGCTGCTCTCTCCATGAGGCATACCAGCGGAGGGTGTTGGGTTTGGATTTATGGATGATCCTTTTGCAAACTGAACAATGATTAGCCAGCACACGAGGATACTGTGTTCAACCGCAGAGAATCAAGTTCACCTCATGCTCCTGTAGCCAAAGTGCTTTTACTTTTTTAGTTCAGCAACACGTGATCAACCGGAGAACTGTTTCCCATCTATATCTTCTCTGTTCGATACAGGGACATCAGTTGGCATGGTAACCTCATTTGCCATCTGCAGGCCTCATTCATACTGAAAAATGACACTCAGGGAGCTGTCAAGAAACAATTCAATATTCCTCGGCAACAGCGGGTCAGAGTATGTCTGCCTGCAAATCTCAGGGCCTGGCGTGCATTTGACCGTCTTCCTTAAGAGATAAAAAGCTTGTTTTTGAAGGTTCGCGAGGGTGAAGTTCCATCATCGCATGTTTGTGACAAATTTGTGCAAAGTGCTGAGTGCAGGATTGTTTGTTATGTGTCGACAAATGAATTTGGTGTTCGAAGAAGAAATCAAGTTTGGGGGCTGAAAAATGTTGGGAAAAATGTGTCTTGTGGGTCAAAGATGCAAAATTTGAGAGTCATGTTTAATGCTTTGAATCCGAAGCTGTTTAAAGTGTTTATTTGCTCTTGTCACATTTTTCACTGCAGCATAAAGTCCTGCACCTCTATGGAAACAACACGGCCATGACTAGAAGCACAAATAGCTCAAAAATGTGTTCTGTACAGTGTGATACACTTAGAATATTATAAAATCATTACAAAAAATAAATAAAAAAAGAAGAGGGGGAAATGAAAGTTGAATCTGTTTGATAGTTTAACAAAAAAATAGAAAAAAAAAAAGGAATCAATATATTTATCATTTCAGCCCAGGTATTATCAACACTAGAACAAATATTAAATCTACATATAATAGATTTTAACTTCCTCTACAAACGTTTTTCACACTAGAAGGATATTTCACTGTGCTGGATGTATCCTCCAACAACTTTCTGACTATTTGCTATTTCAGAGCCATGTTGCGATTATTTTGTTGGCCAAATGGGTTTTATTTATTTTATTTTTTGGGGCCTTTTTGCCTTTATTGTATAGGACAGTCAAGAGAGAGAGACAGGAAAGTGGGGGAGAAGAATGAGGGAAGGACTTGTAGCAAAGGGCCATGAGTGGGATTCGAATCCATGGCCGCTGCATCTGTAGCCCCAGTACATGGCTCGCCAGCTCAACCAGCTATAGGGGCGGCCCAAGTGGGTTTTATTTTTAATCTCTAATTGGTTTTATCTTCTGAGGGCTGTGGCTCAGGTTGTAGAGTGGGTTGTCCTCCAATCACAAGGTTGGTGGTTTGATCCCCCGCCCCTCCACAGTCCAAGTGTCCTTGGGCAAGACACTGAACCCGAAGCTGCTCCCAATGGCAGCTCTGTCACCATCGGTGTATGAATGTGTGGGTGAATGGATGAATGAGAAACACATTGTAAAGCGCTTTGGGTAAAAGCTATTTAAGTGCAGACCATTTACCATTTAAACACAGCCTGCAGTTCAACCGAAAAGTCTCATCAGTCACAAGTCACGGCTGAGACAGGTACAGCATCACGGTTGTTTTCTTCAGAATCTGTTTGATTCAATTCAATTCAATTACTGTGGGAGGTTTATTTCGGATGAATTTTTGAAAAAGATCTGCAGAATTAAGCTTATTTTTTATTAAATGCTTCTTAAAGCTTAGATTTGGCAATTTTTTTCCCAACAAAACTGCAAGTCACACATGATTAAAGGAAGGCTTGCAGTTTCTTACTCTAATAAATGGCTTAATTTTGGCACTTCACAAAAAAAAAAGAAAAAAAAAGAGCAAACCTTTTAAATGTGCCAGCAGGTTTTTGGTTTTCGAAGGTTAAACTTTGACATTTTGGGGATATTACTTGCAGAGAGTTGCTGACTCATAGAATAAAGACTGAGGGAAACA